TTTGAGAGAGCAGACGTTCTATCATGCATCTTTACAGTAACACAAACAGAGCGAAATGGTTCATAGTTATGGACTCTTCTGTTTAAGAATGAGGGTGGTGTGTTCCCACTCTTCATGTGGATGCTAAAGACAGTGAGACATGGCTGTGTTTTGCTTAATAAAGGTGCAACACGCTGCTTTCATTAGCACTGATGATTGATAAGGATTTGTTTGTGATACTGTGTGATCCTGGGAGCAGAAGTCATTGTTTAAACAATGCTGCGCTAACAAAGGAACACTGTTCATGTGGCCGCCACTTACTCTGTGCACATTTCTCATTAAGGTTCAAAGTGCTCAACAGTCGAATATGACATGATTCAGTATGCACAGGTCTTGTTGAATCACTGGAAGAGATGTTGTTTTGCCTCTTTTCCTCTAAGGACATGTTTAAAATGCCTCTGAAAAGTTATAATATTTTTCCCAGGATACATTGGCACATTAAAGGAAAGTGGGGGTTAGTTTATTAATATGGAATCTGTTTTTGAGTGCTTGGCATTGTATGTTTTATTTACAGTCAAAACACTTTTTTTCTAAAACTTCTCCGATAGGAAAAGTGTTTTGAAAGGAATCTTCAAGGTGGTGATAAGAACTACCGGGACGATTGCTTAGTGTGCACGGAAAGGGCCATCCAGTGGTCTGGATTCTAACTCCAGTTTCTCTTGGCTGCAAAATGACAAGCAGATATTGAGGATGGTTATATTTTAAGCCACTAAAGAAAGTGAAGGCAACTTTGATATGGGAGAGGAGTAAGTTCTCTTAGTGATTGGTAGGGAGACCATCCTGGGCTCAGGAATGCACGGGGAGAAAGAGAAGAAAGAAAAGTCTGATGAGAGATTGCACTAAGGATGAGGACTAGAGAAGCAGGAGAGAGGTTGATGTGTCATCTATGTCTGGCAGCGATTTAAATTGTAGTCTCCTCTCTATTGGAATCGCCCCTTTCTACCATTCTTTCCACAACTAGTATCAGGTCCCCCAGGGAGTTAAATGCACTTGAAGTTTTATGTGGGAGTCTTGAGTATGGGGTTTCATTTCTCTGTTTGTTCATAACTGCCAAGACAGTCCCTATAATTTTCATCCATACCCTATGGATTTTCTTTCCCATTTCCATAATAAGGAAGTTGCAACTCAGCCTACCTGGCCCCATTCTATCCCCGTGTGCCTTTATTTATTTATTTATTTATTTATTTATTTATTTATTTATTTATTTATATTTACTGGAAATTGTATCTTTCCCAGGAGAAGCATAGGTTCCTAGGGATCTGGGTCCAAGCAATGTCCAGTGGTGATCTAGGCATCTCAAACAAATTCATATCTCTGTAGACAGCAAGCTTTTCTTGTTCTTTGTTCACTCTTGGTGCCTTATGCGGTGAGTGCTACATAGTAGGTGCTCAGTAAGTATTTATTGCACTGCAAGGTAGCAAAGAGATCTATGGTCATATGCAAACGCTTGGGGACAACTGGGACTTGGAACTCTGGAAAATGTTTTAGATGTTTTATAAACTTAGATCCATTCTGGATTACCTCCTAAATGGATGCTTTTCACAGGATTTTCATAAATTAGTGCTCTGCATATTGCTGAGAAATCATACACATATGTTGAAGAAAATTTTCTAGAATAAATGTGAAATTAAAATATTTTGGTGGTGATGAAAAAATAGCCTACTTTCAACACCCAAAATAGATTGACAGGGCTAGTACAGTTGAATGGAGCCCAAGTCACCTTTCTGCAGTGCATATAACTACTCTTCCCTGATGGACCTCTGCAGAGAGGGACATGTCCACCCATACATAATGTACGTCATAAATAACCACATACAGATCTCTGTTTAGGTGTCTGGTCTGTTTTTTTCCTGAGTTCTATGTTTTTACACCTGAGAGTGTTGGGTTTGTCCCCAATCGTAGACTTATTTGTTATTTTTACTTAGGTTGCATTCTTAATTAATATTCTGTGTCTCCAAGGTTTCTGTGAATCAACAGTGCCCCAGAAATTGTTTCTCTTCTTGAGACTCCAGGGAAGTCTTGGAATGCAAAGACCTCAAGAAGGAAGCCTGGTCAAACAGCCTTCGTGGGCTCAGTGAGGCAGAGGTTTAGAATACACACAACGGATGTCTTCATGTTCTTAAAGGCAGAAGCCTTCAAGTGAGTTCAAAGGGCAACACTTGGGTCTCATTTGCTTTGCTAAAGAATTGAAAGGCTTTTTTTTAAAAAACCACATTGTCATTAGCTTAAGGTCAGAGCCTAACAAGACTGATGTCACCAAAGACAAAATACAGTTATTTGCATTGGCTTTTTTTTTTTAAATAGAAAAATGAACCAAAACTTTCTAGATAATTTTATAATATTTAAGGTACTGGTTAAGTTGTTCCTTTTCAAGTGATGTGTGTGTGTGTGTGTGTGTGTGTGTGTGTGTGTGTGTGTGTGTGTGTGTGTGTGTGTAGTGAACAGGTATGCGTAGGTTTGTGTGCATACCTGTAAGCATGTGTGCAAGTACAGGTGCACAAATACAGGCGTGCGCATTATGAGAGCCAGAAGTCAATACTGAATGTCTTCCTCTCCAGTGCTCCACCTTAGGTTTTATAATGGAGTCTAGTCACTGAACTTTTCAGCTGTGCATGTGGCTAGAGTGCCAGGTTGGCACACTGTGGTGATCCTGCTCTCTGGGTCCTCCCAGAATTGGGGTTACAGGCCGGTGCAGAGAAGCCCAGCATTTTATTTGGTTGCTAATAGTTCAAACTGAGGTCCTCAAGCTTAGAAATCAAGCATGAAGCACCTCCACAGCAGAGTGTGAAAGTTTTATATCAACTTGACACAGGCTAGGGTCATTTGGGAAGAGGGAACCTCAACTGGGAAAAGGTCCCAAGTATACTGACCGATGGTCTAGCCTGTGGTACATTTTCCATCCTGGCAAGCAGTCCTGGGTTGTATAAGAAAGTGGGATGAGCAAGCCATGAGGTGCAAAGCAGGAAGCAGCATTCCTCTATGGCTTCTGCATCTGCTCCTGCATCCAGATAGCTGCCATGAGTTCCCGCCCTGGCTTCCATCAGTGATGAACTGTGATATAGAACTGTGAGCTAAAGTAAAACCTTTCCCCTTTAATTTGCTTTTGGTCCTGGTATTTTATTCCAGCATAGAAACCCTGAGTAAGACACCCCAGCCCTCTGTGGCCCTTCTGCAGCCAGGGTCTGGGTTGATGTCGTGGCTCCTGACACCATCAAAGGCCATGCTGATACCAGGAGTCTGAGCAGACACCACCTGACACCATGTTGGTGTCTGAGAGCCACTCTGTTGTGGTGGCCATGCTGATTAGAGTTGCCTGTGCTGCCACCTGGGGTCATGGTGACTTCTGAGTCTAGGCTGCTGCAAGGGACCATGTCTGGGTGTGTGGTCCTGCCTTAGTTAGGGTCTGTGGTGTTCATGGCCTGTAGTGCAACCAAAGGCTATATGGATGCCTGAGGTCTGGAAAGCCACTTAAGACTATGTTGGCTGCTGGGGCCATAGTGATGTCTAGGCCCAAATGGCTGCTGAGGTCATGTCTGGATCTGTGTTGCTGCTGGCCATGGCCTGCATTGCCACAGGGGTTAACAGGAACAATTCTTCTTGAAATCCAAGTACCCTGCTGAGCCGACCTGCCCCTCACTGACCTCAAGACAGCTGGCCCTGCCCATCTGTGAACACTGCAATGGGAGAGCTGGTCCCATACCCCCAAAAGAGAGCTGCCCTACCACACTTGGGAGAGATGGCCCCACCCCTCACCATGGGCATGGGAGACCTGGCTCTGCCCCTCACCTGAGGGAAGTGGTCTCAATGGCCAGGACCAACCAGCTCAGCTACCATCCAGACCCACATTCTGGGCTTTGGGTTGGTCTTATGCTAACATCTACCCATCTATGACCTGCTGGAGAGCATGAAGGGGCGGGTCCCGCACAACAATAAATGCAGGCTCCCCATGACTCAGGCAACAGCAGGTTATTAGAGATAAGTTTCAGTGAGGGTCCCACGATGATGGCGTGCAAGAGGCCTTGAACAAGATCAATGTCTCATTAAAGTCAATGAACATTGTCTTGAGAGGCAATGAAGCCACTTGCCTCAGCCAGCTCCTCATCTCTTTCATCTCTTCAGGTGATGATGAAGACAGGGGAGATGTGGCAGGCTGACCAGCAACTACCAGGTCCATAATAAGGGTTATGTGTTGCCGCCCCCAATATCCACCCGGTCTGTGATCTGCGGAGGCATGGGGAGGTGGGGTGGGGAGTGTCAGTCCCGTGGATCCAGGCTGCAGGATCTCAAGGACACAGGGCAGCAACAGGGTGTCCGGGAAGAGTCTCAGAGAGGGGCCCATCACCATGAGTGCAGCAGAGACGAGACCAGTGATTAAATGTGTGGATAAAGGGGTTTGCTAAGTGACTCCCATGATGAGAGTTCTGCTTTCTTCCTCCTCTTCTTTTTCTCTTCTATTTTACTTTGGGATGGGGAGGGAGATGGATGGGATCCGGAGGCAAGCTGTGAAAGCCACAAAGAATAAATACAAATAAAAACAAAACAAAACAAAAACCTAATAAATTGAGCATTTTGTGGGGCGAGCTGATTGGACAAAAGAGTATACTCCATGACACTCCACAGCTCCTGATGCCACTAGGATGAATGCAGAGGCCTTGGAAAGATGGAGGAGTGGGGCTTTTTAATTTTTTTGGGGGTACACTGCAGTGTTGAGGGGTAGATATGGAGTGACTAGAAGGTGAGTGGGATTGGGGTACATGATGTGAAATTCCCAAAGAATCAATAAAGAATTACGTTTGAAAATATTAAGAATATTTTTAAAAAGCTGCACTCCAGTCTTGAGAGTTTTTTTTTTAATGACTTGTTACTAACCAGTAAATAATTTAATTAGCAACTGTCTGTTTTCTTGCAAAGACAGCAGTAAGACATAAAGCATATAGACGTCTGGAAACAACCGGAAGAACATGGCAGAACCTGAGAAAAGGGTTGTAGCTCATGGGGTGAGATGCTTTTCCAAGATCAAGGTATGGATTGCTTGCACGTGTAGCCATGTGTGCATGAATATATGTGTGAGTCTTTTAAGCAAGCATTGAAAGTCCTTGCAGCATTGCTCAGCTCACATGAAGTTTCCCAATGCCAAAGCCATTTTACCCAATGTGTTGTTAATTTCCTGCCTTAAAGAAGTTAATTTTTATAGTTAGGATGTCTAACCAGGATAATTAACACTTAATAAGAATCATTTAGAGAAGTGGTTCTCAATCTGTGTGTCACTATGCCTTTAAGGGTCAAATGACACTTTCACAGGGGTGGCATATCAGATATTTTGCGTATCAGATATCTACATTATGACTCATAGCAATAGGAAAATTATACTTATGAAGTAGCAGATGAAAATAATTTTATGTTCGGGGTAAACAGAAAATGAGGAACTGTGTTACAGTGTCCCAGCATTAGGAAGGTTGGGCATCACTGATTTAGAGGGTCTTAAAGGGGGATAGAATTTTAAATGTTTTAGGTGTGTATTACACTGTGCTGGAATTTAGTCTGAGGTCAGAGGTCAATCCAGTGCTCAGCCCTCTGCTCTGGGGTTCCTGACAGAAGGTCAGGGGTCACAGCTAGGAACCAGTTCCCCAACAGAAGTGCTCTGTAGATTAATATGCAAAGATGACTTCATGACACAGTCACACAAATATTTGCTTCAAGCTTTGGCAATCCTGCAATCGTTGATTTGGAAGAAAAATGTCCATTCTGTGAGCTGTTTTGGTGGTTTTCCGTATTGTAGAGATGATTGTCACCCTCAGTTCCAAAGGCCTCTTTGCATCTCAGATGTGAGCTTGTATTACCCCAAGGCATCTGAGCACTGGCCGGGGCTCTGCAGATCCCTCAGAGGTTCCGCTCTAAGCTGCTGCCTCCTATGTCATCCTATCACAAGGTCACTTATCTCAGTCACATGTAGAGGACTCCACACTTTAATGGAAAAGAGAGGGAGGCCTCAGACTCAGCCCAGCCCTAGAAAGTGTTTTTACCTGTAGTGCTGCATGAATTATTGGAACCCAACCCCTCCAGTTATCCTTCCGTTCTCACATTATTCTCAGGAGCCCAGGGCCCCTGGTTCCTAACCTTTGCCAGACGCACACTGGATGCGTCACTTTTGACGTTATGCAAATTGTTTATACTTCAGTGTATTTCATCTGAAAAGGGTAATAGTACTCCTACTTTCTAAGACAAAAAAATCCTTCTGAGACCTGTGTGTGTCTGTGTGTGTGTTTGTCTCTATATGTATGTGCATGCTTGACTATAAGGGCTATTCTAAACTACTGGTATGAAGGATTAGACCCAGATACTCACACACATCATGAAACTCCTCTATTCCTGGTCTGTACTGTAACCAGAGGCTTTCTGTCCTACCCGGCCCTACAGCCATTTCTAAATAATCTCTCAGAGACTTAATTATTATAATATTATATTATAATTATATATTATTATAATATTAATTATAAATGGGTAGCTGATGGCTCAAGCTTATTACTAGCTAGCTCTTACACTAAAAATGCTACCTCATTTTCTACACATCTTGCTTCCTCGAGGCTGGCTGGTGTCTCCCATACTATACCTCTTCCCCCACCTTTAAGATGTATCAGCTACTTGAAATATTTGTCTTGTTTTGTGTTTATTGATGTTTTGCCCTCATGTATGTTGTTCACCACTGTGTGTCTGGTATTCTTGGAGGCCAGAAGGTGTTGGGTCCCCTGCGACTGGAGTTATAAGTGGTTTTGAACCAGATACAATAAACACAAACACCACCATAGACACTACTTCTCAAAGTTTGTCTTTGATTACTGTCTTAGTGAGGGTTTCTATCGCTGTGAAGAGACACCATGACCACTGCAACTCTTATAAAGGAAAGCATTAAGTGGGGTTGGCTTACAGGTTCAGAGGTTAAGTCCATAATCATCATGGTGGGAAAAAAGAGGGCCATGGGGAGATATGGTTCTAGAGAGGGATCCACGAGTTCTACATCCAGAGGGGCAGGAGGAGAGTGACACTGGGCCTGGCTGGAGCTTCTGAAACCTCAAATCCCAGGCTCATTGATACACTTTCTCCAACAAGGCCACTTTTCCTGTTAGTGCCACTATCTGGTGGTCAAGCATTCAAACCGAGGAGTTTATGAGGGCCGTTCCTATTCAAACCACCACAGTTACTTTGGAGTTTAACAACAGTAGATATTGTGGGAAAATGTTAAAACTGTAAGTTTACAAGTCAAATTTAGAAGTAATTGTTTAAAAATAATTAGATTTCTCTGGCTTTAGAACTGTCTAGAATGTTAGGACAGGCAAATGGCCTACATTTGACTCCTGCTTCCTAAAGTTAGAAATGTAATCATTATGAAAGGTGTCCAGGACAAGGGAAAAGATGGCCTTAATGACCTTCAGTCATGCACACACTGATGACATTACCCAGGCACCAACCATCAGTTCTAACCCAATGGCTACACATATGGCCCTGGTTAATCTACAGGAACAAGAAACTAAACCAAAACTCACAAAACCTGGAAAATACTGCTAAGAGAGGAAGAAAGAAATAATCTTTTTGTTTAATAACATTTTTAAACAAAAGAAAGAAACATTTCTCAAGGGGACTGGGGAGATATTTTGATCAGCACAGCACTTGCCTTGGAAGCATGAGGCCCTGAGTTCAGTCCCCAAGCTTACATAGAAACTTGGCATGGTGACACATAACTACAATCCCAGTGTGGGGAGATGGAGTCAGGCAGATACTTGGTGCTCACTGACAAGCCAGCCTTGCCCCCTGGGTGAATTCCAGGCAGGTGAGAGTTCCTGTTATTAAAAAATGTACAAAGCTTCAGGAATTCCACCTGTGGTTGTCTTCTGTGTTCTCATGTGCATAAACATATAAGAACTCATCCTACATGAACATGCACACACTTACACAAAGGAGAAAAAGGAGAACTCCCTCAGGAGGAATGAAAAGACTGCTCTGAGAGAGCTGGCTTCAGACTGTAGAGTGCTGAGGCGAATAGTCAGTGGGACTGGCTTTATAAACACAGATCTTATGTAGGAGTAGACTTGAACCAGCATGGACACTGGTTTCTTTCACTTTCTGCCCAGAACTGAATAGTTTAGAGAAAGAGCTGTGTGCTCACTATCGGCTTAGCTTTCTTCTTCCAAACACAAATCAAATAAATGACCTCCCCAAGCCTGATTTTCTTTCTTTCTTTCTTTCTTTCTTTCTTTCTTTCTTTCTTTCTTTCTTTCTTTCTTTTTTCTGTTTTTCAAGACAGGGTTTCTCTGTGGCTTTGGAGGCTGACCTGGAACTAGCTCTTGTAGACCTGGCTGGTCTTGAACTCACAGAGATCCACCTACCTCTGCCTCCTGAGTGCTGGGATTAAAGGCATGCACCACCACCACCTGGCAAGCCTGATTTTCTTAATTTGAAAGACTTTGCTCTTAAATACAGGACCTGAATTATAAAACTCATTTAAAAATGATCAAATATCAATTACATCCTGAAAGATTTGTAGTGAGAAGAGAGAACATCTCTGCCAATGTCATGTAGAGTTTGAAGAGACACTTCTATGTCTTGTGAGCTTTCTTGGCCCGGCTAGGTCCCACTGCCCTTCTCAGCCCCAAAGAAATGCAAGGACACTTTATCAGTTATAAAGCTGTTGGTCATTGGCCATGGCTTCTTATTGGCTGGCTCTGTCTAAATTATTAACCCATGTCTAATAATCTAAGTATTTCCACATGGTCTTTTCTTGCCGGAGAAAGGGTCTGGACCTGTTATTCCTTTCCTTTCGAGTCCTACATGGTGACTTACTCTGCCTATGTTTCCCAGAATCCTCCACCTCTCCTAGTCCCATCTATCTTGCTTCCCTATTGGCCTATAGTGCTTTATTCATTAACCAATAAGACAAACATATTTACACAATGCCATCTCCCATCACATCTAGAGCTGGAATTACACTACCTTACATTATAGAGTACTATTGGGCTATACTGAACATGGTGTTCACATTTCCCAGTTCTGTTTTTGCATCTATCTATCTATCTATCTATCTATCTATCTATCTATCTATCTCTCTGGTTTATCCAAATTAATTGGCTTTGTGGCAATAAATTTACCAACAGTACATACTAATCTAACACAGGGTGTCTTGTCTATTATTCTAGGTGTGATAGCACAGAAGTTCCAGAAGCTGGGATGATGACATTTGACATCAACCAGCTGCTGGAAGATAAGTGAAGGGAAACAGGAAGCTCATTCACTGCATCTCTCAAAATAACGAGGTGTCTTACTGGTATATCCAGCACCTGAGGGATCCCCAAATGTTCTGTCCTGGGTTTCTATGCCATAGGTGCCACTTGAACTACTGAGATAAAGGGTTATAGGGCATATTGCCCTAGGAGGAAAAATAAAACAGGTCACTTTGCTGTGGCCATTGCCTCCACTAGTGAGAATGTAGCTTGTGGCTCTTAAGAATGTAGACAAAGAGGACAAAGTGTTGAACTGGCCAAGGACATCCAGAGACCTGTCATTCCTACAGAGAGAGCATACTAGGCTTACTATAGAAACTATGCTGTGGCGTAATTCTGTGCTTTATTACCTCCCTTCTTTAAAGCTGACAGCACACGTCCTGCAGATAATAGTACAATGCTGAAGATCCATCAGTAGATGGATCCTACATAGAGTAACTGCATGTTTTTCTGTATGAATAAGTTACACTGGTAAAAGAACAAATCCATACCTATCTTCAAAACTCACCATTGCGAACCAACTATTCTAAGTCTGCATCTCCAGAGTTACAACGTTATGATAGAGGAGAGATTACACTTTAAAGTTTCTCCCATGTTCAAGGGTTGTTTATGTTGGATACAATCCTCTACCTCGTGGTAGAGGCTGCTTTGTAAGAAGTTGTTTTTTGTGTCCCACCAGCCAGTTCCCAAATAATGTCACAGAGACTTCTTACTAATTGTGAAAGCTTGGCCTATAGCTTAGGCTTGTTCCTAACTAGCTCTTATAACTTAACATATTTATATTAATGCACTCTATCACACGGTGTTACCTCTCTTCCATCTTTTACCTCCTAGTTCCCGAGTCTCCTAGAATCTCCTGAGTGCTCATATTCTTCCGTTTTTCTCTTCCCAGAAATCTCCCTTATACATTCTGCCCAGATAATGGCTGTTCAGCCTTTTATTATACCAATCACACCAATGCATCTTCACACAGTGTGCAAATATCCCCCAGCCCTGTTTGTCAGTAAATGCCAGATATATAAATGGAAAACAAAGCTCTCACTTTTTCTTAATGTTTTCCTTCCTAGATGTTTTTGGTGGCACTAACATGGGCATTTGTATCCAAGTCACTATCAGGAACTTATATGAATTCCATGCTCACACAGATAGAGAGACAATTTGATATCCCCACATCTATCGTTGGATTTATCAATGGGAGCTTTGAGATTGGTGAGTGATTTTTACACTTACGCATTATATATTGACGTTCTCTCTTTATTTCCTGCATGAGGCTATTTGATTTGGCTGAGTTACATGCTTCCTGATGTGATTGAATAACCTGATTTGTGCGTGAAGAAACCACTATTTAAACATGCCAGTTGTCATACCTAATTTTTGCCACATACCCTGACATGGTCCCTTTTTTTTCTAACACGTGACAGAAGATTTAGAGTATTACTATATAATCCCGTCGTTTAATAATTGAAAGAGACACTAAGGCCTTTCCATGGCACATTAGAGGGCTGCCTGGAGGAGCTGGTGTTCTGAAGGAGAGCAAATACTCCTCTTGCCTTACTGTGTCTGTGAGACTGGCAGCTCTCCACTCCTAGTCACTAGAAAGATGAGGATGCTTTCCTGAGTTTGACTTATGCCCATACAATTCCTAAGAGTGAATGAACTTTAGCCCCTGATTTTGGGTGACAAACTGGGATATGAGAGTAAAAAGCATGAAGGAGAGAAAGATGCTCTCTGTAAACAAAGCGTCCTGGAAGTCTTGGTGCCTCTCGTCTCTAGTTTAATCATAGTTTTTACTTCTTTCAAGGCGAAATAGCATTTAATGCATTTATTGAAAACAGCAAGGAAAACCAGGACTGTGAAGTAGCTAACCCACACTGAGGATGCTCCATCCTGTCTCTCAGGATCAAGCTCCTTAATGCTTACTCTGCTACCTATGTCCTAGGCCTTCACAGTATAGTCAGGACGAATGTCTTACACAGACCTTACACAGATTCTAGTGTGGTAGATGCAGCAAGTTCAGTTGGTCGGTTATCCAAGTTCTTATGGAACACGTTGTGCTGGGGAGGACAGTCTCCTGAAGGAGTAAGGTTTGCCAGGCAGAGAAATGGACAGGTAAATGTGAAGGGGAGGTTTGTGCAGAAGGTGAACCATCAAATACTTTATGCTGGGATGAAGTCAGCTTAACAATAGAAGCAGAAGCATCTGGCTTGGCCATGTTGAGTCCTAAAGGTTTTTTTTTTTTTAACAGTACGTTAAAAATATGAATTCATTTGACTCTGTATAGAATAGACAAGAGAGGAGAGATTGGGAGTGATCTGCAGCCTGAGACTTGCTTTTGTATCCATTCCCAAGGGCTAAATAACCCTGAATAGATCTAGGAATATTCTCCAGTATGGAGGATAAACTTTGGATATATATATATATATATCCCCATATTCCTAAGGTGTTTATTTTTGTTTTTCTTTTTGTTTTTTTTTGTTTTTTGTTTTTTTGAGACAGAGTTCCTCTGTATTGCTTTGGAGGCTGTCCTGGAACTTGCTCTGGAGACCAGGCTGGCCTCAAACTCAGAGATCCACCTGCCTCTGCCTCCTGAGTGCTAGGTTTAAAGGCGTGCACCACCAACGCCTGGCTTCTTAAGGTGGTTGTTAAACAATGAACACTAGAGTGCAAATGCTGGAGAGGCTGTTGGCTATGATGTGATAATACTTTACTGAAACAGGCATTCTCGTTTCCCCCTCCCAGGAAACCTTTTGCTGATTATATTCGTGAGTTATTTTGGAACTAAACTGCACAGGCCTATCATGATTGGTGTCGGATGTGTGGTTATGGGCCTAGGGTGCTTCTTAATATCACTACCTCATTTCCTGATGGGCCGGTGAGTATTCCAGTCCTTGATGATATTTTAGCTTCAACTTTCCCCTACAGGAAATGAAGCTCAGAATTTCCTCTCTGGGAGCAGTGATGCTCCCCCCAAAGTACAGAATGCATTTATTGAAATATGGTAATATGCTAATATGGAAATTAGAAGACATGGGCTCCCCTTTGCTGGTATGATTTGTGAAACTGGTGGCCTTGGGTCCATTTAAGGTCCCACTCCAGTCCATTGTGAACTGGGGAGTTAAGAAACCACTTTCATGAAATTGAGACACATGAATGAATTCTCTGAATCTGCCAAAGCTGTGCTGAGTCCTCCATCAGGGCTATTTAGACTCTCCAGTTACAAGGTGTCTACAATGTGACATAATTATGAGTCATCAAGGGATAGACCAATGTCAAGGCTGATTTTATTTTCATGTTTACTGTTGGGGCCCCGTATATTTTGGAAGCCTATTCCTCCAAGAGTTCAGGAAAGCCCAGAATTCCTATTGTCTTTTAGATGTTGGCTGATCATCCCCAGATGGCCTGGCCTTGGTGGAGAATGGATCATATTCTAAATAACAACAGCCTTGGGCCAGGGTCTACAGCCAGGGCCAGCCTTGGTCTACATCCACCCTGAAGGCTAGTGAGACTTGCTGGTGTGGAGTGCCTGAGGGCTTGAGCAAATGCTGTAAAGGAGTGTCTCTAGGATTAAGGGAAATGCTATCAGCCCTTTAAACTTGATAATAGATGTCTCTGCCTTTGCCCCACTTTTGGATGGTTACTTAAGATGATCTATGAATAAATCGTGCCCTTCAGTATCAACTGATCGCCCTGCTGATATGACCAGATGTCTCTGTCCTTCTTTAATGCCATTGGAGACTTAGCTTTCCTTCTTCCACACTCCCCCACTTAGGGTCAGATCCGGGTTGTTCTGCTGGTTCCGATCATGCTGAACGTGGGGCTAATATGGATGGTCCATGAGAGCTTACCAATGTACCATAACACAGAAAATTGTAAAAGGGAAGTTATGTTGAGTTAACTCTTACCCCCCTTTCCTGCTTTCTGGGGACAGATTTCAGTCCTTCTGTCAAACTGTGTGTCTTGTTAGTTTTTAATATCCTAATATTAAGTGATATACAGAATAATGTTTTCTATCATAGAATCATGGTATTCTATGTTATAGAGCTCAATTTTATCTATATTTAATATCTAACTCATCCTCCCCCCTTTGATTGACTTTCTTGGCTTTCTTTGAGTCTCTGTCTACATTACAAGCCCCTCACTGGCTGGCAATATGAACATCCCTTGACACAGGTCAGGGGTTCACTTTTGTCCTGGCCATGCCTCTTACTCTTGTCTGCTCTACTCCACCTACCTCTGAACTACAACCCCAAGCCCAGCTCAGTGCTGTGTCCTTGCAATTCTCCACCATTCTTTTCCTTATGAATTCATTTAACTTCCTCCCTCATCTTCTTTTTCCTCCAGCCTTCCCTCTACTCTTTTTCATTACCTCTTTCTTCTATCTTTTCTTTTGTTTTGTTTAAGATCTCTTATCAATTTGATGTGTGTCAGTGTTTTATCTGCATGTATAAATGTACACCGTGTGCGTGCGTGCGTGCGTGCGTGCGTGCGTGCGTGCGTGCGTGCGTGCGTGCGTGCGTGCGTGCGTGCGTGCGTGCGTGCGTGCGTGCGTGCGTGCGTGCGTGCGTGCGTGCGTGCGTGCGTGCGTGCGTGCGTGCGTGCGTGCGTGCGTGCGTGCGTCCACAGATACCAAAGGTGTGTTGGGTCCCCTGGAACCTAAGTTAGAGATGGCTGTCAGCTACCAGGCAGGTGCTGAAAATGTGAACCCAGGTCCTTTTTCAAGAGTAACAAGTGCTCTTAACCATCGAGCAATATCTCCAGACCGCCTTGCCTTGCCTTGCCTTGCCTTGCCTTGCCTTGCCTTGCCTTGCCTTGCCTTGCCTTGCCTTGCCTTGCCTTGCCTCAAGCCTTGCCTTGCCTTTTTTGAGACAGGGTCTTTCTATGTAGCCCAGGCTTGCATGGAATTTACTATGTAGCTTAAGCTGGCCTCAAACTCTTGCTGATCCTCCTGTTTCAGCCTTCCAATGTTGGCACTACAAGGATGAGCCGCCACATCTACCTTGCTTTGACTCTTTCTTGAGCCTCCTCCCTTCCCTCTTTAGTCTCCCTGACTTCTTTCTGTAGAGAAAAAAGTTCCCCATAGCCTTTGAAGACATCAACGTTTGTGTATCTTGGAATTAGAATCAGTATTCTAACTCCTGTGACTGGTTTTTCTTTAGCTCCTCTTCTTCATCTGGAAATGATTTTCTGCCACTTTTTTGTCAATTGGGGAATACTTGGACCTTGAGTGGACAACTGAATTTTAAGAGGAAAAAAAACTAAATGAAAAATACGTCATGTTCTCAGTTGTTTTTTGAAGGGAACTGAAAATTTGTGGACGAAATTTAAAAATTATTTTTTCCTTTCTATTCTATTCAAATCAATGTCAAGAAATATTTGACTGTTATTATGTTTTCCTACCTCCTGCCAATGGTGATTATTCTCTGAAACTGACCTGTCCTCGTGGGATCATGAATAGAGAGAGACAGGATCTTGTCCACACTTCACTGGCAACTTCCGTGGGGACATCCAGGCAATTGTTCTAGGGGGAAGTGATTCTGACTTCTGGGCTATCTTATGTAGCATAGAAATTAGGATGTTGGCAATTATAGTTCCGTACTCACACATAATTCAGCAGCCTTGGTTTCTTCTGGCTGTCTCTCTTCTAAAATACACTTAGAAATAATAGATAACTTAACTAAATAAATAAATGAAATCCATAACACCTACAAAGGAGAGAAACTTAGCTGGACACATTCTCCTTTACTATTGCATTGTGCCATTTCTCTCTAGGACAAGCTGACCCTTGGTTATTTGATTAAGTTAAAAGTCCAGAGTTTATTATCACTTTTAGTGCTATAACACTGCATTGTCAGTCATGGTTTCTGTCATCTCTTGTTATGACATGTGAACATTTTCTTCTGTTGGAGTTAATGAACTCTTGAGAGAATGAGTGTTTGAATTCTCAGAATGGAAGCATAGGACCACAGCTCAGAGAATGCAGAGCAGGTGTCTTGATTTGTTGTGTTGTCTTGTGTCTCTTTAAAACTTTTATCTTCTCAATTCTACATTAAAGAGTCTCTTTCTTTTTATTGTTTTTGTTCTTTATCTTGCCCCAATTATTCCTATTAAATAGACATTTAGAAATCACAGACAGGGCTGGAGAGAAGGTTCAGTGTCTAAGAGCACTAGCTGCTCTTGTAGAGGTCCTGATTTCAATCCTTAGAAATGATTTGGTGGCTCACAACCATCTGCAGGAGGACCAGATGCACTCTTCTGTCATGCAGGCATAGATGCAGGACTCTTACAATAAAAATAGAGATGAATAACGTTAAAAATGAAATCACAGAGTTGATATTAGAGAATCTGAAATCTATGTCACCCACATGTAGAAACGTGAGGCTAACTGTAAAGAATGGGCACGGTTTTGGTGATTATCAAGTTCTTTTGATAATATAATTGCTGACTTTCATTCATTCGGGTGGTTGCTTTCAATCTTTCCATCTTTTCTTTTGAAGCAATATCTCAGGAAGTCCAGGATAGCCTTAAGGTTGCTGCATAGATAAGGATGGTCTTGAGCTTCTGTTTCTCCTCTCAAGTGCTAGGGTGGCAGGCATGGCTCACCACAACCAGCTTATGCAGTTCTAGAGTTTAAACCTAGAGCTACATGCCCAGCCTCTAATGATACAGACCGGCCTTCCTTCCTTCCTTCCTTCCTTCCTTCCTTCCTTCCTTCCTTCCTTCCTTTGTTCTTTTTTCTCTGTTTTTAATTTAAATTAGAAACAACCCTGTTTTACATGTCAATCCCAGTTCCCTTTCCCTCCCCTCCTCTCCTGCCCACCACCAACCCCCTATCCCATCCCCTATCTGCTCCCCAGGAAGGGTGAGGCCTTCCATTGGGATCTTCAAAGTCTGTCACATCATTTAGAGCATGGCCTAGACCCTCCCCCATGTATCTAGGCTGAGAGAGTATCCCTCTATGTGAAATGGGCTCCCAAAGTCCATTCCTATGCTCAGGATAAATACTGATCCAGTGCCAGAGCCCATAGACTGCCCAGGCCTCCTAACTGACACCCACGTTCAGGGGGGTCTGGAACAGTCCTATGCTGGTTTCCCAGCTATCAGTCTGGGGACCATGAGCTCCTCCTTGTTCAGGTCAGTTGTCTCTGTGGGTTTCTCCAGCCTGGTCTTGACCCTTTGCTCCTTACTCCTCCCTCTCTGCAACTGGATTCCAGGAGTTCGGCTCAGTGTTTGGCTGTGGGTCTCTGCTTCTGCTTCCATTAGCTACTGGATGAAGGCTCTAGGATGGCATATAAGGTAGTCATCATTCTAATTATAGGGGAGGGGCATTTAAGGTAGCCTCTCCACTATTGCTTAGATTGTTACTTGGGGTCATCCTTGTAGATCTCTGGACATTTCCCTAGTGCCTGATTTCTCTGTAAACCTATACTGGCTCCCTCTATTCTGTCATCTCTTTCCTTGCTCTCCTCTATTCTTACCCCCACTTGATCTTCCTGCTCCCTCATGTCCTCCTCTCTCCTCTTCTCCCCTTATCTTTCTCCTAATTCCCTCTCCCCTCCCCTCATACTCACAATTTGCTCGGGAGATCTTGTCGATTTCCCCTTCTCTGGGGGACCCTGTATGTCACTCTTAGGGTTCTCCTTGTTTCCTAGCTTCTCTGGTGGTGTGGATTGTAGGCTGGGAACCCTTTGTTCTATGTCTAATATCCATGTATGAGTGAGTACATACCATGTTTGTCTTTTTGTGACTGGGTTACCTCACTCAGGATGGTTTCTTCTAGTTCCATTCATTTACCTCCAAATTTCAAGATTCCATTTTTTTTTCAGCTGGATAGTACTCCATTGTGTAAATGTACCAGATTTTCTTTATCCATTCTTCAGTTGAGGGGCATCTTAGTTGCTTTCAGGTTCTCTTCATTTAGTTTGATGTTGATTGTTGGTTTGCTATATATTGCTTTTATTATATTTAGTATGTTTCTGTCATACCTGATCTTCCCAAGACCTTTAATATGAAGGGGTGTTGGATTTTGTCAAAGGCTTTGTCGGCATCTAGTGAGATGATCATGTGATTTTTTTCCTCAGTCTGTTTATATAGTGGATTACATTGATGGATTTTCATATGTTGAACCATCTGGGATGAGGCCTATTTGATCCTGATGAATTATTTTTCTGATGTGTTCTTGGATTTAATTTGTCAGTATTTTGTTGAGTATTTTTGCATCAATGTTCATGAGTGATGTTGGTTTATAGTTCTCTTTCTTAGTTTTGTCTTTGTTTAGCTTGGGTACCAAGGTAATTGTAGCCTTGTAAAAAGATTTGGGCAATGACCCTTCTGCTTGTATTGTGTAGAACACTTTGAGGAGTATTGGTATTAGCTCTTCTTTGAATTTCTGGTAGAATTCTGCACTGAAACCTTCTGTCCCTGGCTTTTTTTGGTTGGGAGACTTTTGATAATTGCTTCTATTTCATTAAGGGTTATAGATCTATTTGAATTGCTGATCTGTTTTGATTTAATTTTGGTAAGTCATCTCTATCCAGAAAATTTTCCATTTCCTTTAAATTTTCCAATTTTGTGGAGTACGGGTTTTCTAACTATGACCTGAAGATGCTCTGGATTTCCTCAGTGTCTGTTGTTTTGTCCTCCTTTTCATTTCCGATTTTGTTAATTTGCATGTTCTCTCTCTCTCTCTCTCTCTCTCTCTCGCTCTGCTTTTTGGTTAGTTTGGATAAAGGTTTGTCTTTCTTGTTGATTTTCATGAAGAACCCAAGTTTTGTTACATTGATTCTTTGTATTATTTTCTTTGTTTCTACTTTATTGATTTCAGCCCTCAATTTGATCATTTCCTGGCATATTCTCCTCCTGGGTGAGTTTGCTTCTTTTTGTTCTAGAGCTTGCAGTTGTGCTGTTAATTCTCTAGTGTGACTATTCTCCAGTTTCTTCATGTGGGCACTTAGTGCTATGAACTTTCCTCTTAGCACTGCTTTTGAAGTGTCGAAAAAGTTTAGGTGTGTTGTTTCTTCATAGTCATTGAATTCTAGAAAGTTTTTAATGCCTTTATTATTTTTTCCTTGACCAGTGGTGCAATTGGGCATTGTTCAATTTCCATGAGTTTGTAGGGTTTCTGCAATTTGTGTTGTTGTTGAATTCTAACTTTAAAGCATGGTGGTCCGATAAGATACCAGGGGTTATTCAAATATTTTTGTATTTGTTGAGGTTTTATATGTTGCTGAGTATATGGTTGATTTTAAAGAAGGTTCCATGTGGAACTGAGAAGAAGGTATATTCTTTTGTGTTTGGATGGAATGTTCTATAGATGTCTGTTAAACCCAATTGGGTCTTAACTTCTGTTATTTCCTTTGTTTCTTTGTTAAGTTTCCGTCTGGTGGTCCTATCTAGTGCTTAGAGTGGGGTATTGAAATCTTCCACTGTAAGTGTGTGAGGTTTTATGTGTGAATGAGTTTTAGTAATGTTTCTTTTACGAATGTGGATGCCTTTGTATTTGTTGCATAGATGTTCAGAATTGAGACTTCATCTTGATGGATTTTTCCTGTGTTGAATATGAAATGACCTTCATCTCTTCTGACTGATTTTAGTTTGAAGTCTAATTTGTTAGATATTAGGGTTCCTACACCAGCTTGTTTCTTGGGTCCATTTGACTGGAAAATCTTTTCTCAACCCTTAACTCTGAGGTATGCAGCAGAAGGATGGATTCTGTCTTTGTATTCAATCTGTCAGCCTGTGTCTTTTTATAGGCTAATTAAGCCCATTAATATTGAGAGGTATTGACGACCATTGATTGTTAATTCTTGTTTGTTTTAGATTTGTTGTTGTTGGTATTGTATGTGAATTTCCCCACTTCTTTTGGCTGTTGGTAAAGTGGGATTATCTATTGCCTATGTTTTTGAGAGTGTAGTTCATTCCTTAGGCTGGAGTTTTCCTTCCAGAACTTTCTGTAGCGCTGGATTTGTGGATATGTATTGTTTAAATCCGGTTTTGTCATAGAATATCTTGTTTTCTCTATCAATAGTGATTGAAAGCTGTGCTGGGTAGTCTGGGCTGGCATCTGTGGTCTCTTAGTGTTGGTAGAATATCTATTCAGGCCCTTCTGGCTTTCAGAGTTTCCATGGAGAAGTCAGGTGTAATTCTGATAGGTTTCCGTTTATATGTTACTTGGCCTTTTTCCTTTGTTCCTCTTAATATTCTTTCTTTATTCTTTATGTTTGATGTTTTGATTATTGTGTGTGAGGGGACTTTGTGGTCTACTCTATTTGTTGTTCTGTAGGCTTCCTGTACTTTTATTGGTGTGTCTTTCTTTAGGTTGGAAAAGTTTTCTTCTATGATTTTTTGAATATTCTTTGTGCTTTTTTGAGGTGGGTTTCTTCACCTTCTTCTATACCTATTGTTCTTAGGTTTGGCCTTTTCACAATGCCCCATATTTCCTGGATATTTTGTGTTAGGGATTTGTTGGACTTAAGATTTTCTTTATTCAATGAATCTATTTCTCTTAGTGTATATTCAATACCTCTCTTCTATCTCTTGTATTCTGTTAGTTATGCTTGCATCTATAGCTCCTGATCATTTACCCAGCTTTTATATATCCAGCATTCCCTCAGACTGTGTTTTTTTCTTTATTGTTTCTATTTCAGCTTTCAAGCCTTGAACTGTTTGATTTGTTTCCTTCACTTGTTTGGTTCTTTTTTCTTGGCTTTCTTTGCTTTCTTTAAGAGATTTGTTTATTTCTTGCAATTTTTGGCCTGTCTTTTCCTCTATTTCTTGAATTTTTTTGTTTGTTTTCTTCCATTTCTTTAAGGGATTTTCTCATTTCCTCTTTGAGGGTCTCTATCATCTTCATAAAGTTGTATTTACAGTTGTTCTCTTCTGCTTCATCTGTGTTGGGATGTTCAGGTCTTGCTGGTGTGGAGTCCCTAGACTCTGGTGGGGTCATATTGATCTTTCTGATGTTGAATGTATTTTTATGCTGTTGTCTTCCCATCCTTCTTCTAGTGGGTGCTGGTGGGTATGGGTCCAAGGTTCTTTTTTGGTGGGTGCAAGCAGCTCCAATACTCTGATGGCTCTCCTCTTCCCATGGGTGGAGGCAGGACTAGCACCACAGTGTTGACAGACTCTGGATGGCCTGGTCCACTGGGATGGGTTCCCCTGTGCACAGTCCCCAGTACTCTGGAGGCTCTGAGAAGGGCACCGGAAGGCAGACCAGAAACAGGGCCCATGCTCACTTCTTCCCATGGGTTGAAGCACGACTAGCATTGTGACTTTGGCAGACTCTGGATGGCCTGAACCACTAGTACTGGTGTCCCCCGCCCCCATGCAGTCCACAGGCCTCCAGAGGCTCTGAGCAGTGCATCAGAAGGCGGGCCTCTTCCTTCCTTCCTTCCTTCCTTCCTTCCTTCCTTCTTCCTTCCCTCCCTTCCTTCCTTCCTTCCTTCCTTCCTTCCTTCTTCCTTCCCTCCCTTCCTTCCTTCCTTCCTTCTTTTCTTTCCTTGTTTTTCATGTGTGCATGTGTATTTCTGTATGCATATGTGTTTCATGTGTTTGTGTATGCATGGTGTATATGTGTACACACAGATTTTTTGGGAACTATTCTATTAGGTCATTCCTCACTTTCCACCTTAATGTGATTTTCAGGCATTGAACTAAGGCCATCAGACTTGTGCATCAAGTTTTTTTTTTTTCCTGCTGAGTCCTCTTGCTGCCCCTGCAATAGGATTGATGATAATTAGAGTAACTGCTGTGGAATCATGTCTTTACAGGCTCTGGATGCTATGTTTTCACAGAAGCAGGAGTCAGTAATCTGCAGATGCTCTCATTGCACTCAGTCCCTCACAGTGAATGTTTCCTGTGTCCACACAGATACGAATATGAAACAACAATTTCACCTGCAAGCAACTTGTCCTCAAACAGCTTCTTGTGTTCAGGAAACAGAACCGAGTCCTTCACGCCAACACCTGACCCAAAAGGTTGACTAATACTTCTTACTGCTTTCTGCTCAGAGACTGGGCCAAGGAATCCTCTTTTATGAAGGGCTTTGAATGTGATACTGGGTTTAGTGGTCATCTAAGACAAATGAACAAACTTCATTTACCTCTTCTGGCAAAGGAACTGTGTAATAACAGAATAATCTGTCTCCTGAGTTTGAATATACTTACTAAGACTCCTTTGTTTCTTAAAGAAGGTGTTTTAAAAACAAGTCAAAGATATCCACTCCAGACCATTTTAGAGTTATTCCCACAGGGAAAATGACTTAGAAGCATGGATTTAGACACATTGTGAGATCTATGTGATTGGCTTAGTTTGCTCTTCTTTTGCTGTAATAAAGCATGGACTAAAATCAACTCAGGTAAAACAAAGTTTATCTAGCTTACAAATTGTAGCTCATCATGAGGGAAGCCAAGGCAGGAACATGGAGGTAGACCAAAGCAGAGAGCCCCACTGAGTCTCGCATACTGGACTGCTCTGTTACCTCTCTTGTACTGCACAGGCCATTCTGTCCAGGTCTGGGACTGTCCACAGTAGTCTATGCTACCTTTCTTCAGTTACCCAAGAAGAAAATGCCAGTCTGATAAAGGCAGTTCCCCAACTGAGATTCCTTCTTCTCAGGTATGTCTAGATTTGTGTCAAGTTGACAAAAGCTAGCCATCACAGTGATCAAACATATGTGAAGTACAGCCAGAAAGAAGCTTCCCCAGATCTGTGCTGTGTACCTGATGCACCACGGGAAGGCAGATGCCTTTGTCACAGTGCAGAATTCCTTAATTATCAGGAATTTGTCTTTCAGTCTCCCTTTCCCTCTTTCACAGAGACATTACTTTGCAGTTCAGCCCAACAGTGGTGCTTCCCTTAGTTCCTTTGGACCCAGGCACTGCGGTCCTGGATCCTGCATTTCATATGTTGCAATAGTACCTTTCCCATCACGGAGGTCAAAATCCTGAAGAACTACTCAGGGAAGGAAGGTTTGTTTCCACTCACTGTTCTGGAGTCTCAGCTCATGGTCACTTGGCTCCATGTTCATCATGGTGACATGAGTGTTGAGTAATGCTCTTCTCCACTTCTTGGCGGGGAAGAAGAATGGGAAACACGATACAGGAAGTGGTGTGATATAGCTTTCCTGGACATGCCACCCCCAGGACCAACTTCCTCCCATTAGACCCATTTCCTACCTTTCAGTACTTCTCATCAGTTTAAGTCTCTTGACTTCATCAGCCGATTAGTCCATTGATGGTTATGCTAGAACCATGGCGACCTGCATCCGTATATGCCTCAGAGACACAGCCGGATGTTGTGCGAAAGCACTTGCTGTATGTACTATTTACCTCTCTTTGACTTTGATAGAACACCATGACCAAGAGAACTTACACAAGAAAGTTTATTTGTGCTTGTGGTGACAGCGCGGTGGTTCTCAACCTCCCTAGTCATTTAATTGTATGATATGGTGACCCACAACCATAAATTATTTTCATTGTTACTTCATAACTGTAATTTTGCTACTGTTATAAATTGTAATGTATATCTATGCTTTTAGATGGTCTTATGTGACTTTTGTAAAAGGGTCGCTAGACCCTCAAAGGACTGCTAGATCTCTCATCACCCAGAGGTTTAGAACATCTGTTCTAGAGGGATGAGAATCAATCATGGTAGAGAGAATGGAAGCAGGAGCAGGAAATTAGAAGCTCACATCTCAGCTTTAAGCATAAGGCAGAGAATGCAAACTGGAAGTAGGGGAAGACTTTAAGCTCTAAAAGCCCATCTGTGGTAATATTCTTCCTCCACCTCTCCAAATAGCACCACCAACTGAAGACTGAATATTTAATTCTAGAGCCTCTTGGGGGATATTTTGGTTTAGAGCACCATAACATTCTTATAGAGGGCCTGCTTGGTTGCCAGCACTGACTTCAGGTTATTCACACCCCTCTGTGAGTCCAGCTCTGGGGAGTTGAGTGCCCTCTTGGGCATCTGCACACACAATGTGCACATACGCTCATAAAGGTACATACACACATTTACAGATACATTTAAAAAGTATTCTTAAAGTCACATATACTATAATACCCAACATGTCCTCTGAACATTTAGCCCAGAACTGTCTTAGCAGAATCACCTCAGGCCAGAACTTCTCCATCTTATGCTAGATTCATGCCACAGAATTTGCAGCAACCTTCAAGGCTTGTAATGTCACTGCTCTCAGGAGTCTGTGGAGATCAATATAACTTGAGATTCTAAGAGCAGTCATCTTGAAGCTCTGAGTCACAGAAGCCCTCTAAGCAAAGCAACATGAAACAGTGACCTCTATCCTAACCCCCTTTCACCTCTTGAACTAACTTTTGAAAAGCCATCCCTTGTACTCCTTGCATTGTAGTAGATAAATTAAAATCTTCCCAATGTTCAGAGTGCCAGGAAAGCACTTGATTCTTCCAGTGTCTGATACTTTCAGTTCTGCCTTAGAAGAGGCTTGACAGTCTCCTTGGGATCTGTAGACAGAAATTATTATGTTTATCTAAGAAAATAATCTGAATTCCTAGAGATGGAAACTGAATTTACTTCAACCAGGAATAAGTAAGAGATAGATCTTATGGCCCAGTTGTGCTTAGGACATTTAATGGCAGCCCCTGGCCAGTCCACAGAAGAGGGTACATTGTCCTTCACTTCTCTGAAAACATAGTGTCAAGCTTCCTCAGGAAGTGGAAGTTCATTTAGCTTAGAACAAATTTGGAAGGTGCATGCAAACCTTCAAATATTTCTCTTTTGCCTTTCAAGCCAATTTGGCATAGTTTGTCTTATTTTACTGATGACAGGCTGCTTGATCCATTGGAGTATTTGTTTGTTAACAAAGAAATGGTATCTATAGAAAAATATGGTTACTACTCAATGAAAATGTTTAGTTTCTAAAAAGCAATCGAGGTTGTGTGGAGTTCAAACTTCCATCAATCTTTTCTGTGTTGTGTCGTACAGCATTAATTGTCAGAGGCATACACACACACACACACACACACACACACACACACACACACACACACACACACACACGTGCTTCTTTTTCCTTCCTCAAAGTTTTGGAGGAATGAGGCAGTGCACACTTTAACTGGCTCCACTGGTTGGTGGAAAACTGAGTCCCTGGAGGTGAGGGAAATTCCTCGGTTTTATGGTTTGCCTATTTCTATGGTGTAAATTCTCCCAATCAATGAGTTGTCACTAAACACTGAATTGGGAAGAGGCATTTGTCTGTGGAGTCATCTCTCCTACCCAAGAGGGAATTGTTTCCAGCACAGCACTTATACTCCATTGCTAGGAATTCTTTCAAAATAAGTGGTATGGATGATTCACGAATTCATAGACAGCATAGTAAGTAAGGCAAGTCACTGAATGGTCACTGTGGGCTGTGACCCGAGAAAAGCTTATAAAAACTTTTGAATTAACTGCCAGTCATGCTTGACTGTCAAAATGCTCACACACTTTCTTTTGTTTTCATGCAGACTGTGTGAAAGAAATTAAATCATTAATGTGGATATATGTAGTAGTAGGAAATATTATCCGTGGAATTGGTGAAACTCCCATCATGCCCTTGGGTATTTCCTACATAGAAGATTTTGCCAAATCTGAAAACTCCCCTTTATATATTGGTAAGTGTCTTAGATGGTGTTTCTGTTGCTATGATGAGAAATCATGACCATGACATCTCTTGTAAAAGAAAAACATTTAATTGGGGGAGGGGGCTTACATTCTCAGAGGTTTAGTCCATTATCATTGTGGTGGGGAGTGTGGTGGCATGCAAGCAGACATGGATCCTAGAGAAGGAGATGCTACGTGTTGATATTCAGGCAACAGGAAGTAGACTGTCTCAGTGGGCATGGCTTGAGCATGTATGAGACCTCAAAGCCCAGCTCCACAGTGCCACACTTCCTCTAACAAGACCACACCTACTCCAACAGGGTCACACCTTCTAACAGGGCCACTCCCTTTGGGAGCCATTTTCTTCAAAACATCACAGTAAATTTGAAAATCAACCTTTTGGGGAGGGTAGAAATCTATTATTATTGATTTGAATGCTTTGTGGTTTCCAGCACTGTGAGCAGAGTTGGTAAGATTGTTCAATGGGGAATTAAAAGGCAGCTGCAGACAACGTGCTTCAAGTTACTTCTCACCATTGGGGATCCCTCTGATGTGCAGACCCTGTACTCTTCTGATGCTGACACACTAGCTTTAAAGCATTAGAGCTTCACCAACATTTTCTGGAAAGTCTTTTGTAAATCCTAGTGTGTTTTTTTCTGTTTTTCCTGCTTTTAGAGTCTCATTCTTTCTTTTATAAGTAATTATGACTTCAATATTGGGCATTTTGTGTCTGTAGTATTTTAAAATTTTTTTAGCTCTCCCCCCCCCCTCTCTCTCTCTGTGTGTGTGTGTGTGTGTTCGTAAACTTGCATTAAACTGGTGGTCAGAAGACAGCTTTTGGTAGTTGGCCTGGGATTGAACTGGACTCTTCGGGTCGAGGTTTCATGGAGAAGTGCCTTTACCTGCTCAGCTGTCTGCCTGGCCCCGCAGTGCTTTTATTGTGTTGCAATGTAATAAACATCCTTGCAGTTTAAGCTTTGTCAAAGATGGTTTTAAACATGTTTCCTCTACCATGTTCATCAAGTGATTTATTATTTTCCATTTACTTTCTTTTACTACTTGGGGCTCTTCCGCCTGCCTCCTGATGAAGTGAATGACACAGTATTCTTTCTTCTAACCCCCTCAGCCTAGACAGGGTTCTTTATAGTGTTGGCAAATATCCAAGTTCATTCTTTTGGTTGTATTACTTGGTATTATCATAAAACACATATGTATCTTCCAGTATCTTCCAGGTAATAATCTTCAACACATTGCCTAGCTGCACGATCTTCCAGGCTCTGAACAATGATAGGATGTCAGAGATGGACGGTGCTTCTTTTTCTGGGTTGGGACTCCTCAAAAGACCTCCAGAGTCCATGTTGCCCTTGGAGGCCATGTATATGTTTTTGTTCCATCTTGCCACCTGGGGTCATGTTGATATGTGTGGCCTGTGCTGCTGCCTGTGGCCCTGTTGATGTCTGTGGTTCCTGTTGCCACCAAGGGCTATATTGATTTCTGTAGTGATAATTTGTTTGTAATCTAACAAATAAAGCTTGCCTGAAATCAGAGTGCAGGGCTAAGGCACTAGTTAACCACACACCCAGTTAATAGCTAAGCCACCTGTTAGCCACATACCTAAACCACTAGTTAGTGATAGAGAACAGGCAGTGGTGGCCACACCTTTAACCCCAGCACTCAGAAGACAGAGGCAGATGGATTTCTGTGAGTTCAAGGCTACCCTGGGCTACATGAGAGTGAATCAGTCTAAAAAAGAAACAGAGTTTACACCTGTAATCCCAGAACTAGGGAGGAATATAAGGCAGGAGCTCAGTGCAGTCTCAGGGCAGTCTGAGGTTTTTTGGTGGAGAGCCTTGCAGTCTGCAGTCACTCTGAGGACAGGATCACCCCTTTTGGGTCTTAGCCTTGGTAGAGGTAAGAACTCTGTAGTGGTTTGGCTGCTTTGCTGTTCTGATCTTCAGGCCAGCTTTGTTTGTTAGATTACAAACAAAACATACTGCAGGCTTCTGTGTCTTTGCTGTATTCAGGGTTCCTGCTGCACTACCACAGACAGTCCCATCAAAGCCATGATGGGAGCAAACTCCTTTCCATGTGTCCAGAGCCATGTTCTCCAAGGGACTCTGTGATGCTTAGCTTTAATTGTCAACTGGACACAGCCTAGAGCTACCTGGAGGAGTGTTTTAATGAAGTATTGTCTGTTGTGGGTTTCCCTGTGGACATGTCAGCAGGAGATTGTCTTAATTAAGTTAATTGATGTGAGAAGACCAGCCCACTGTGGGCAGCACCATTCCCTAGGCAGGGAGTCATCAACTTTGTAAGAGTGGATCACAACCATGCAAGCAAAGACGTAAGCATGAATGCTTTCACTCCCTCTTCAAAGCTCCTGCTACTGGGGATTCTTTGTTGAGATGCAATTGCAAACCAAAGGAACCCCATTCTCACCAAGGTTAAATTTTCTCACAGCAATAGACATGAAACTTTCATAGTTGCAAAAGCAGAATGAGCTGTGATGAATTTCTTGTAATGTGTCTTCATTAACGCTCTTCTCCTGAAACTTCCTTCCAAAGAAAGGATGTGTCCTCTAACAGCCCTTCTCTTGGATGCTATCCTTGTCTTCTTTTTTTTATATTTTTCTTACCAACCACAGTTTACCTTCCCTCCTTTCCTTCTGTTTGCCCCTCTTGACTCCTATCTATACCCATCCCCATCCCCTCTGGTCTTCTCAACTTATTATTATTTTCATTTCCTTGGTCCCTTCCAACCTCACCTGGCTTCTTTGAAACCACCACCAGCATCTCCTGACTTACCTTCATTCAGAATCTCTGCTAAGCCAGCCCTACTCACAGAAAAACCAGATATGAACAACTTCAACTTCCTGCCTTCTCTTCACTTTGCATCTTGTCTTTTCCTCTTACTCTGTGGGTCTGTGGGTTAGTCCTCCTCTGTGAGCCTGAGTTTTCAAAACCAAACTCTTCTGTCTTCCTTGTTCTCTCAAACACTCCCTATTTGCTGCCATCTATCCAATGATTCCAGCAAGATCTCCAGCCTCCACTGAATTCATTCCCATCCTATGCTGTCTGCCTTGACTCCCAGTCTCTCACTCTTCTCAGTCCCTTTCTAATTCTAACATACTCTCTTGGAACCATCAGTGATCTCCATCATGAGTCACTATCTGATATAATACAGAAACTCAGAAAAGTGGGTGTGGTCAGCATCATCTGTACCAGCCCCCAAGTGGGCGTGGTCAGCATTTCCTCCCACAACTGTCTTCACTTTTGATATTTTTGTTGATTCTTATGAGTTTCACATAATGCATGCACCCCTATCACATTTAATTCCCAGTCTTCTCAAGTCCATTCCTCCTCCCTTAAGACCTCCCCTAAAGAAAAGAAGACAAAGAAAATTATAGCAAGTCCAGTTTGTGTTAGCCATATTCTCAGTGGACCATGGTCAATCTTCCTGTGGTCAGCCTTTCAAGGAAAACTGAATCACTACCCATCCTTAGTCCTGCCAGAAACCATCAACTATGAAGAGATACACTTCAGGATCCCTATCACAAAATTTAAGAGGTCTATTCAATGGCTTCCTCTCTAGACTGTTTCTTTTCTTTGGAAGGGGGTGTGGGGAGAAGAAGCTGTCACAGAAGACTTCTATGTCTCTCGTTCTCAACTGTGAGTCTGCAGTCATCAACACCACTGCAAAAGAAGATTTCTTGCCCCTCACGGTCTATGTCCCTGGGCTGTCTGTTTTGGAGGCCTGTCATGAGGCAGCACATTATGGAGGAAGGAAGGGAGGAGTGAAGCCATTCATCTTGTGACTGGGAAGCAAAGCAGGATGAGGAAGGGGCTATGGTTCTCCTACTGATGATCTGAAGACTCAACACCATGCCCTGCATTCAGAGGGTTCCTCAGACTCCAGTGGTTGCCATTGGGAAACAAGTCTGTAGCACATGAACTTCTGGGGGACATTCCATATTGAAACAATGGGAGCTTCTTTGTTAATATTTATAGAAACCAACATACATACATGCAACACATATGTATATATAACATATGTATGTACAAATAACATACACACCAAGCTTATGTTTTTATATATTGCATATAAAAATATCTGAGGTAGTGGAGTGTAGCTCAGTTGTAAAGCACTTGCCTTGACTATTGGATTTGATACCCAGCTCTGCAAAGGAAGGAAAAGAAATCTAATATTAAAAACAATTCAATCTCAAGGCTTTTTTATGTAAGCAAATTTTTGTGTAAATTCCTATCTTTGTTTACTTCCAGGGATTTTGGAGACAGGAATGATCATTGGTCCTTTGATTGGACTTTTGTTGGGATCCTTCTGTGCAAACATTTATGTAGACACTGGGTCTGTGAATACAGGTAACATAACACGTTTTATTTCTACCGTCCATTCCCTAGAGTGCGAGAGAATGCTCCAGATTGCTATACCATTGCCTTCCTTGATCCGCAGTTAGGCAAATTATGACCATTTACAGACTGCAGATCTAAGAGAAGCAGAGGCAGGGATGAAATGTCAACTTCTGATCAAAAACCCACCACTCTCCCAGCACATTGAAGCCACACCCTTCGTCTCAAAAGATTTACTCTCATAGGTCTTTCTCAATGAGGCAGTCACTGTGGAAAGAGATATTTCTGTTATGTGATAAGCACCAATTTATAAAGTTTTCACAAGCAGACAGAAATAGTCATTTACTGCTGGAAAATATATCCCCTATACTGGTAGATAAAATCAGTGAATTATTTAAAGCACACACAAACCGAAAAAACTGATACTATGTGATGTTTTATTTTATTATCTCTATGCATAAGTGTATGTCTGTGTGTGGGTGCCTGCTGAGGTCAGAAGAGGGGTTCAGATGTTCTGAAATTAGCGGTATAGGCAGTAGTGAGTTTCCATGAGGGTGCGGGCTATAGAACTCAGGACCTCTGCCAGAGCAGCAGTAACTCTCAGCCACTGAACTGTCTCTTCAGTCCCCTGCCACACCCACTCTACTGTTTTGACATTTGAATACATCAGGTTAAAGCCAATTCCTTATATATTTCTCAGATATGTTTTCTATCTTTTTAAAATGAAGTTTTAACTATTATGTAGCAATCTAGGATTTTTTCTTTTTAATTTCAACTTCACCCAACTGATCAACCCCAGACACTATTTCTCAATGTCTGAATTTTCCCAGATCCCTGTAATACCAGCATTTAGGAAGCAGAGGCAGAGAACCACAAACTCAAGGCCCAAATAAGAACAATGACTAATGTGTGGCAAGTTTACATGTAACACACTATTTTGAGCTTAGATGGGATTATGATCCTTATAATTTTCTATGGTTTACTCAGGAAAGAATGATGGAAGCTAATAAATTATCTGTATTTCTTTACAGGTGACCTGACCATAACTCCCACTGATACACGCTGGGTCGGTGCTTGGTGGGTCGGCTTTTTGATCTGTGCAGGAGTGAATATCCTGACCAGCATCCCCTTTTTCTTTCTTCCCAAAACACTCCCAAAGGAAGGACTGGAGGATAACGTGGATGTGACTAAAAGTGACAAAGAAGGGAAACAACAAGAAAAAGCCAAGGAGGAAAAACGTGGACTCACTAAAGGCAAACAGGAAAACTTTAAACCTTGTAGTTCGTTTGATGGGTCTGCAGTTAGTGTAGCACTTGTCCTGCTGTGCTGAGTTCAGACAGTTTGTCACTAACGGTCCCTACTAGATGTGTTAAACTTCTTCCAAAGTTACCACTTGGAAACAATTGACTTAATTCAAAACCCAACTTATCTTAGTTTAGAAAAGTGACTACTCTATGAAAATTTCCAATCAGTCTGAATACTCAACAAGCAAATATGTTTTCTCATATATTTTGAAAAGCCTATTTTATAGAAAATATTGTTACAAGTTAAAAAAAAACATGAATAACCAGCAATTCAAGCTAAAGATAATGGGAGAGAAATACCCGTACTAAGGGACAGTATAATTTGAAAAGAAAAATGCTTATTTAGCTGTGAGCATCCTTTATTTTAAGGGCCAGTGATGACACAATTCTTTGTATTTGAAGGTGTGTTGTAGTTCACAGGAGCACCGTTCCCTGAGGATCAGACTGTTGTAGAACAATCAGGAATGTTATTAACCTCCAGTGCAGAGTAATGATGATTCTGTAAAAAGCTGAGTGTTCAAGACTGCCCATTCTGAAACCTTGGCACTAATTTCACAGTTTTGTGTGTGTGGTGACTTCTATAGTATCAAGAGATTTGTGCAAAGGGGGAATGGCTTAGGCTATGGAATTCTAAAAGTGTATCCATGGAGAACAGGAAGGGGCTATTTTTCACCTGTCAGTTGAGGGCGACAGTACATTATATTCTTGGGTTTCTGTGCTGTTCTGGCATAGACTGCACTGGGGAGCACTGGGGAGCACTTTATTGGTGATTTCTCTACTTCCTCCATCACTCATAATGTCCAACAATTGTGCACCAAATAATCACACATCTGCCTTAAACATTACTGATCCTTGCCAGGGAGCCAGTCACTGGCAGCCAGTTCAGAGGCTTGACCAGTCTTAGAATCATGTTCACCTTAACAATTCTCCTGAAAGCTAATACTGATAGTTTTTGTGTGACTGTGTGGACTGGCAGATCAACATTACTTTTTTAAATTTAAGCTTTTATTTTGAATACATCTTGACCAGTTTCCCCCCCCCTCTCCCTCCGGTGTCCCCTCTACCTCCTCTATCAGAGCTTCTCCTTCTTTGTGTTCCATCAGGAAAAAGCAGGCCTCCCAGGGATAGCTACTGAACAGGGCATAACAAAACACGATGAAACTAGGCACCAGCCCACACTCAGGGCTACCTGAGACAACCAGTAGGAGGAACCAGGTCCCAAGAGCAGCCCAAAGTGTCAGAGACACATACCCCCACTTGCACTGTTAGGAGTCACACAAAACACCAAGCTAACAAAGATAACATGTATGCAGATGACCTAGTGTAGACGTGTGCATGCTCTGCGATTGCTGCTTCAGTCACTGGGGGTCCCTAGGAACCCTACTTAGTTGACGTCTGTGGGCTGTGCTCTCTTGGTGTCCTTGGTCCTCTGGCTCCTACCTTTCTCCCACCCTCTTTTGTGGGCTTCCCCAAGTTCCAAGGGGAGGGACCCAAGGGAGACTTCCAATTTGGGCTCTCCACATAATGTTTTCTGGGGATCTTTGTATTTGTTCCATCGACTGCTGGTGGGAAGCCTCTTTGATGATGATTCAGCTAGACACTGATCTATTAGTGTCTAAGAGTATCATAAGCAATCATTTTGTTGATGTTTTTCTATCATAGATCTTAGGGCTATCCAGTTTCCTGTTCTTGGTCATCCAGACTGTATTGAGCCTGGGCTCCTTCTGGTGATATGGGTCTCAATTTAGGATAGTCACTGCGTGGCAACTCCCACAGGTTCAGCTCCTCCAATAGCTTACTCCGTCTTGCAGGTGGAATAGATTATAGGTTGAAGGTTTCGTGGCTTGTTTGTTGTTCCAGTCCCACCTCTGGAAGTCTTGCCTGTTTTTAGAGAGTGGCTGGTTCAAGCTCTGAATCCTCCATTACTAGGAATCCTCAGGAGGATCACCTTCTTGGAATCCTGAATGTTTCTAATGGGCTGGGTTTCCACATCACCTAACCAAATGCCCACGGATCCAACCATTTCTCCCCATACTCTCTCCCTCCACCACTCACTTTCAGTAGGTCACTCCTGTTCCTATTCCCACCCATCTCCAGTCCACTCTCAAAATCCCCTCTATTTCCTCTCCCCAAGGAGATCCACTAATCCCCATTAGAGCCCTCATTGTTACTTAGCCTTCCTGGGTTTGTGGATTGTAGCATGAATATCATTGACTCAACAGCTGATATCTGCTTTTTAGTGACTTAATGCCATGTTTGTCTTTCTGGGTCTGGGTTACCTCACCCAGGATGATTTTTTCTAGTTCTATGCATTTTCCTGCATATTTCCTGTTGTCAGTTTTTTAACAGGTGAGTCATATTCCACTGTGTAAATGTACCACATTTCTTTATCCATTCTTTGGTTGAGGGGCATCTAGGTTGTTTCCAGTTTCTGTAAATTATGAATAAAGCTACTTCTTTTTTTTAGAGCTTTCATGTATACTGCTAAGTTGCTAGTATGAGATCTCTCTGATTTCTTTATGTAGCAACTTAGTGCTATAAATTTTCATCTTCGTATTACTTTTATTGTGACCCCTAAGTTTGGAGTATGTTGTGCATTCATTTTCATTGACTCTAGGAAGTCTTTAATTTCTTTGTTTTCCCTGCCTTGACCCAGCTGATAGTCATTCAGTCGGTCAGTTTCCATGAGTTTTTAGGCTCTCTATTATTTCTACTTTTGTTGATGGTCTGAGAGCAAGCAGAGGTAATTCCAATTTTCTTGTAACTGTTGAGACTTGCTTGTGGCTGAATATGGGGTCAACTTTAAGGAAAATTCTATGAGTTGATGAAAAGAAAGTTTATTATTTGTGTTTTGATGAAATGTTCTGTACGTATGTGGGTAGATGGAAGTTTCTGTCCTGCCTGGTCCCACAGATGTTTAGCCCCAAATAAACACATAGAGGCTTATATTAATTACAAAATGTTTGGCCAATGTATCAGGCTTCTTATTGGCTATCTATCTCTTAATTATTAACCTATTTCTGTTAATCTTTGGATCTCCATGTGATCTTGGCTTACTGGTGATTCCTGGGTCTATTGCTTCCTCGGCAGCTATATGGCATCTCCATGACTCTGCCTACTACCTTTCTCTATCCCTATTTGGATTTCCCTTCTTGCTAAATCCTGCCTCTCCATTGGCCAAAATAGCTTTATTCATCAACCAATAAGAGAAACATATATTCAAAACAGATAAAGACATCCCCAATTATATATGTTAAGTCTATTTGATCCATAATTGTCTGTTAGCTCCAGTATGTCTCTGTTTAGTTTTTGTCTGAATGCCCTCTCTGTTGGATAGAATAGAATATCGAAGTCTCCAACTATCAATGTGTGAGGTTCAATATGTGATATTAGCTTTATTAGTATTTCTTTTACGAGCAAGGTTGCCCTTGCATTTGGGGCATAGATGTAAAGGACTGAAACATCATCTTGGTGATTTTTCCTTTGAGGACTACAAAGTGTCCTTCCCCACTTATCTTGATTAATTTTGGCTTGAAGTCTATTTTGCTAGATATTAGAATGGCTACATCATCTTGTTTCTTCGGTCCATTTGCTTGAAAAATCTTTCTGAGCTCTTTTCTAAGGTATTATCTATCTTTGATGTTGAATTGCATTTCTTGTATGCAGCAGAAGGATGGATCCTGTTTTTGCATCAATTCTGTTACTCTGTGTCTTTTTATTGGGTGATTATGTCCATTGATATTGAATGATATCCACGACCAATGATTATTAGGTTGCTGCTGGTGGTGGTGGTGATGGTGGTGGTAGTGTGTGTGTGTGTGTGTGTGTGTGTGTGTGTGTGTGTGTGTGTGTGTGTTTCCCTTCTTTTGGTTTTTCTTGTGTGAGGTTATTTATTTCCTGTGCATTCTTGGGTATAGTTAATCTTCCTGGGTTGGAGTTTTCCTTCTAGTACCTTCTGTTGGCTGAATTTGTGGATCAATATTGTTTAAATACGATTCCATTTTGTTTTCTCCTTCTATGATGGTTTAAAGTTGTGCTGAGTAAATTAGTCTTGGCTGGAATCTGTTGTCTCTGAGTCTACAATACATCTCTCCAGCCTTTTGGGCTTTTAGAGAATCCATAGAGAAGTCAGATATAATTTTATAAGGTTGGTCTTCATATGCTACTTTACTTACTCCTTTTTCCTTGCAGTTTTAATATTTTTTCTTTGTTCTGTATGTTTAGTGGTTTTATTATTTTGTGGTACAGGAACTTTCTTTTCTGGTCCAATCTATTTGGTGTTCTGTGAAATTTTTGTAGGCATTTCCTTCTTTAAGGTAGACAGATTTTCTTTTATGATTTTGTTGAAGATATTTTCTGGGCCTTTGTACTGGGATTCTTCTTCTTCTTCTCTCCTATTATTCTTAGGTTTGGTCTTTTCATAGTATCCCAGATTTCCTGGATGTTTTGTGTTAGGGAGTTTTTTTAGATATACCATTTTCTTTGACCAATGTGTCTATTTCTTCTAGTATATCTCCAACACCCAAGATTCTGTCTTCCATCTCTTGTATTCCATTGTTGATGCTTGCATCTGTAGTTCCTGTTCAATTACCTAGATTTTTCACTTCAATAACTCCATTTCTTTGTGTTTTCCTTATTGTTTCTATTTCCATTTTGGGTCATTTCCTGTAGCTGTTTTCCCCACCCTGGGATTTCCTTAAGGGATTTACTTGTTTTGTCTTAGTTTTTGATGGCCTTTCCTTGATTTCCTTAACTGATTTATTCATTTCCTGTAAGGACCTTAATCATCTTCATAAGGTTGCTTTGAAGGCCATTTTCTTGTGCTTCTGCTGTGTTGGAATATCAGGATTTGTTGTATTGGGATAATTGGGTTCTCTTGTTGATATATTTCCTTTGCTTTTTTTTTAAAATTATTTCTTATACTGGTGTCTAGTCATCTAGGTTTGAGGTGATTATAGGTCTAGATGCTGATTTCTGAGTTTGTCTTCTTTGGATGGGTGTTTTGTTTCTTTGTTTCTGTTTACTCTCTTGTCTTCTGGTCAGTTTGGCCTGTGGTTGAAAAGTGTTCTCTCCCTGTGCTGGGGGCTGGACTTATAGCTGGTGTTGTGTCTGGTAGAGTAGAGAGTCTTTGCTCCAGCTGGGGGCTGGGACATGGTGAAGCTGAGTGGTTGAGGATTGGTGATAAGGTTTTGGGGGCACTGGTAGCCAGTTCAGAGTTTTGTATGTTCTTAGAATTATGGCCATATTAATGATTTTCCTGAAATAGCTAATACTGATTGCTATGTGTAATTTTGTGGCCTTCCAGGTCAACTTGATTTTCAAAAGTAGGGACGAACTTGGCATAGTATAAGACATACAGAAAAATCAATGTGAATTGTGGATACCCATTTAGGAGAACAGACATGTAAGCAAACAAGGGTGAGTTCAAAGCTCCTGGGAATTTTGACTGTAACTCACTCATTCATAAAGATGGATTTTGCCACTAGAGTTCACTTCTTTTTTTTTTTATTAAACTGCTCTGTCTTGTTATGAATGGTTTCTTATTTATACTTTATGCCCCCAAAACCTTAGGTAATTTATTAAGCATAGTATAAAATTAGAAAATCAAGACAGGAAACATGAAGAAAGGAAAAGGAAAGATATTATTAAGTGTGAAGTTCATTATCTTCCTTCAGATCCAATCCATTTACTAGAGACAAGCTACAAACTTGACTCAGCTTTTTAAATATGGAGAAGTTCTGGTTAAGTCAGTTGGAAGGTCCTTAAAGTGAGATCCTCATGTTGATATATTTAAAAATATCACTAGGTGCTTCTAATGAATGCTGTGTTGTGAAATGCTGCTGGGATGCAGAAGCTGGCTGAGCTGTAGAGTGATTCCTGTATCCTTCCGTGGTTTTTAGCTTATCTGTTCTGGCACAAAGGATTGACAGCATCAGTGTTTGATCTCAAACTTCTTCAAAGAGAGTCCCTTGCAGATTCCAGAGAGCAGACTAGTTACTCTATAGTGAATACAGGATATTAATATAAGGAAAAGAAAAAAAGGAAATGCAAGTGTATGGCCATAGATGTGGTTCCATTTCCTTACAGTTTTGCTTGATGATGTAATTGGGTTCTGAGTCTTATATAGCCAGTTGAGCCACTAACTTTCATCAGCGACTTAAAAAATAATATAGAAATTAGTCCCAAGGGGTAAAGATTTATCAAATATATTTGTGTCACTGCATAGAATTTGTGAGATTTTAGGAGAATACTGGACAAAATTCGAAGCAATGTTAGCTTAATTGTCTTGGCACTCTCTTGTTGTTTCAGATTTCTTGCCGTTCATGAAGAGCCTCTCCTGCAACCCAATTTACATGATTTTCATCCTTATAAGTGTGCTCCAGTTCAATGCATTTATCAATTCATTTACCTTCATGCCTAAGTATCTGGAACAGCAATATGGAAAATCAACTGCAGAGATAGTCTTTCTCATAGGTATGAAGTCTCATTGTGTCTTTAGTAACATTTCTCTGTCCCACAAGGACACGATAGGCAGTCTCCCTAAGGGCATGATCAACAGTAAGACAATGTGACTAAGAGACTTCAACAAAATGGAAATGTTAGGATATTCTTGTAAATTCCTTCTTTCCAGTCTCCAGGGAAATCAAGAAATGGTAGGAAAAGGAAGAGGCCAGAAATATCCTCTTTGTTCTCTCCCCAGTCAGAATGGAAATTGTTTTCTCTATGGAAATCTTGGGGGATACTCACATCAGTCAATTTTCAAGAGGCAACATGTTAATTCAAAGAGGCATAGAGTTAACTCACTGGAACTCTGTATATGACTTCCATATTTCATTTCTGGGCTTCAATTCTTGCCTTCCAAATTACTCCTAATTCAGTTACTTGGTCCCCTTGTGGTTTGAAGATTCTGTGTAGCCACACTCTGATTTTCTTGTTAATACTCTAAATCCACGAATCCTAACCCATTTTGGATTGTCCTGGGTTCTTTTTACTCTTGACAATTGACCATCATGATTGCATTCACATTATTTCGAGTTTTGTGGAAGCCCCTACCAAATCCCAGTCCTTACCCTCATGTAATGGTATAGAGCTGCAAACAATGTGCTAAATTCTCTCAAGTCTGGTATATGAAAGAAACCTAGCTGGGATTTTCTCTTCTCTTTTCTTCTTTGCTTTGATTTTTGTCTGGGGAAGGAACACCAGAGAGGAAGAATAATGTACAACATCAACAATGCATAGAGTGCTCCGTACTTGATAAGTATGGACTTTACAGTGACCTTCTAAATCACCTTGAGCTGATTCAAATTCCCAACCAACTGAGTGCATAGAAATACATGAAGTATCTGTTATCATATACGTGTGTGTGTGTGTCTCTCCCTGTGTCATACTTATATATAACCTGCTGAAAATGATTCAATAAATGGTAATAGTCTTTTAAAAGTGACATTATGGGACATTTGAAAATCTCCTTTTATTTAATGTGTGAGCCTGTTGGGGTTAAAAATATCACTCTGTATTAGTGCTAAATAGTTTCTTAAGTGAGATATATTAGACACATTGTTAACATTCATTTTATGCTGCCTTTTAATAGTATTTTACTCATGTTTGTAGGTCTTTATAACTTACCTCCAATATGTGTTGGATATATAATTGGTGGCTTGATTATGAAGAAGTTCAAGATTACGGTCAAGAGAGCTGCATACATAGCATTCTGCTTGTCCCTGACTGAGTATCTTCTATCTTTCTCTAACTTCATGTGGACCTGTGACAATTTCCCAGTTGCTGGCTTAACTACCTCTTATGAAGGGTATGCTGTTTCCTAAGGAAGATCATAATATTTTCACAATGGCTAGTCCATTTTCTTCAATGATTGTGTATGACTTAGTGGCAGTGATCCATGGCTTTATTAAATTTTCTTCTAATCATCATTCTTATATCATCCCATATGAGTTGTAAGCTTATTAAAAAGTTCTGGAGACTACCATTGAGTAAGTTTATGATTCTACATAAATATACATGGTCACTGTGATATCACAGTCTCCTTTAAAGTGTAATAAAGGAAAATAACCAAGAGCTTTGTAGCCTAAATTATCCATATATTTTATACTCTCATCAACAGATACCTTTAAAAGTTGACTATACAGGCCAGCAAGCCTTCATAGATTTCTATAATAGGCTCAAAGTTAGCACAGTTGTATCTAATAGTAAGTCTATTAAGAATATATTTATATGTATGTCACTGGTACAGGTATATCTTGTATACTCTGCAGACCTAGATTTTTGTATTACGAAATCATAAGGAATTATATATAATAATTATATATATATATAAACAGCATTTATTTTATAAATGGTAATTACAGATTTTGCTGAAGCCACCATCGCTCTTTCATTACTTTCCATCATGAAGATCAATGAGAAATTACATCTTCTTTCTTAGCTCCGACAGCATAGTGCTTTCCTATGTTTGTTTTCTGAAATAATTAAAAAGCAGCTATGTGACCACTTGAGCAGATGACTTGTGTGCCAAAAAAATAGTATAGAGACCACACACTGATATTTGGATGATTGATTTTTGTTTCTGTTCTGGGGAGAAGATGAAATGTTTCTGTCTCTGTCTGTCTCTCTGTCTCTGTCTCTGTCTCTCTCTGTCTCTCTGTCTCTGTCTCTCTGTCTCTCTGTCTCTCTCTCTCTCTCTCTCTCTGTGTGTGTGTGTGTGTGTGTGTGTGTGTGTGTGTGTGTGTGTGTGTGTGTATGTATGTGTGTACCAAGATGAAGATAAGGGAAGAAAATTAAGTGCTTGGGTAGCTTTTTGGTATCCCTAACATTATTTAAAATCATTTCAGAATTCAACAGCCATTATATGTGGAGAATAATGTCCTTGATGACTGCAACACAAGATGCAACTGCTTAACAAAAACGTGGGATCCCGTGTGTGGAGACAATGGCCTAGCATACATGTCAGCCTGCCTCGCGGGCTGTGAGAAGTCTGTTGGAACAGGAATCAACATGGTAATCACCCTTTTCAAGTCTTGGGTTGATGTTTTGCATAGAGTATTACCATGTGCTACACCCACTAAAAAGCAAAAATTATCCCGTGCTTAAAATAGATTAATATATTTTTATGAACAACTAAATTTCCTTTATGTATTTATACTTGATCTTACAATTTCTAGATATTATATATAGCCTTGACAGAGTCTGAGAATTAACTTTTAATTTCAAAGCAGTTGAGACAATTTTTCAAATGATTGGAGTTAAAATCCTCAGGATGAGCTGGAGAGCTAGCTGAGCTGTTAAGAGCACGTTCTGGTTTTTCAGTGGGCCTGTTTGCTTCCCAGCACCCACATGGGGCAGCTCACAACTGCAGCTCCTCGCACTGACACTCTCATCTGCCTTCCTCAAGCACCCACGTGCTCCTGTTTGAATGCACACAGATATAGAAGCATACACATGAATAAACATTAACATTAAACCTCTAAAATACTCCAGAAAGAATCTACCTGTTTTTGAGATAGGGTCTCAAGAAGCCCAGGTTGACTTCACACTAGCTATGTAGTTAGTTGAGGTGGAGAGAAAACTTGTCTTTGAATACCACGAGCTCCTTTCATTTATTTATTCATTTGTTGTGGGTGTATCTATGTGTGCGTGTGCACATGTGTATGCATTTGGAGGCCAGAAGACAACGTCAGCTGTTGACTCCCAGGTCTCATCCACTTTGTGCTCTTGACAAAGAATCTCACTGGCCTGTGATTTGCTGATTCTGTTAGGCTACATGGCAAGTGAGCCCACCTTCACAGCAGCTGTGCTGCAAGCAGATCCTCTACTTTTCCTTGCCTTAAACATGTTATAATACTTACAGAGTTGGTTGGTAGTCAAAATGAGATATAAATTTTGATTCTTAATCAGACCCCTCAAGCATCCAAACAATTAAGTATTGACTTTATTGTAGAAATAAACTCTTTTCTTTGAGACATGATATTATTAGTAAGCACCTAACTATTTTATCAGCATTCTGAAACACATTTTGTTTGCATACTTAATACTAGGCCAACACAAAATAGACAAGTGTTTATTTACTTTTTTAAAGGTTATGTGCAGACTAGGCTGTTGGCTTAGTGGGTAAAGGCATTTGCCACCAAGTTTTGGCACCAGAAATACATCCCACATTGTAGAAGGAGAGAAACTAGTCCCATAATTTATTCCCTAACTTCTATATGCACATCATGGCACACAATGTTTACACATAGGCATACATATGCACACACACACACACAGACATATGCATTTATACCCACAGAGAAAAATCAAACAAACATGAGAATAAATATAAAAATAAAATAAAGTGTGCATTCAGGATAACTGATTTTTTTTTCAAATTACTCCATGCATTTAGAAAAAAATAAGAACTAAAAAGAATCTACCTCTTTATATTTTACAGTAGAATTCTGAGATTCCAAAAAAAATGGAAATAAAGGAGGACAGAATCTCAATTTTACTTATTTAGTAATTTTTATTCAGTGGTATTTGTGCTCAAACTAGATGAGTGCTCTTCCTATGATCCATGTCTTTGGCCCCTACACTCTCAATTTTGATCTAACTGGCTTTGTAGAAAATACTGAAGGTTGATGCCCAACATTTCTCTGCCTTAAATAGGACACTTTTTTTTGGCAGGTGTTTCAAAATTGCAGCTGCATTCGATCTTCAGGAAACTCATCTGCAGTCCTTGGGCTGTGTAACAAAGGCCCTGACTGTACTGTCAATCTGCAGTACTATTTAATCATGTCACTAATTGGCTGTTTCATCTACTCTCTATCAGCCATACCTGGGTATATGGTTCTTCTGAGGTAATAAGTAACTTGTTCATTAGCTTTCTCTCTTTCCCTTTTTAGTAGTGTATGCATACATGAGTGTAATGGTGTGTGTATGTGTGTGTGTGTGTGTGTGTGTGTGCGTGTGGTATATATGACTTTATATATTAATTGTCCATGGTAAGATATTATATTTTTATATTCACACAAATGGAGATGTGGTATATGCCTTGTTCATAGGTTCATGGACAGATAAAGGCACCGAGTATTGCTACTTCTTAAGTCTTATTTTTAAAGGGAGGGAGAAGTGGCTGTGACATCTGTCACCCCATCATGTGCCAGGCTAACTCAGCTGATGTGGTGCCATGGTGTCTCCTTTCTCCTTCACTACTGCAGGTGCCTCTGTTCCAAAGCAGGATTCTCATTTGATAAGGATGAGCTTCCTCACAGAGGAGGTTGGTCATTGGTGAAGGGCATGTGAACAGTTATACTCGACCGTTAAAACCTCCAAGCATTCTCAAGAGATGCTCTCATATTTACTGAATGCCTGTTCCTACTTCCATGCCCCACTTCCATGTTTATCACTTTTTCAATTATCTTACCTTCTGACACCAACTGGATGCCAAAATGTGGCTCGTTAATGTCATAATGTGTGATTGTTAAAAGTGTGTGTGTGTGTGTGTGTGTGTGTGTGTGTGTGTGTGTTTGCATGCCATGGCATGCATGTTGAAATAAGATGTCTTGCAGGAGTTGATTCTCTTGATATAATGGGGTTATGGTCTCTTCAAATTACTTTTTTCTCATATTTCTTTGCTCTTTCTTGGTGAATTTGATGATTTTAGTGTGAATGATGGATGATGCAGTGCTGCTGTTTGCACACTATTATTACTCTTCTAGTCTATTGTTTTTCTTGAACTCTGTCATGGAATCCCTTCCAAAATGAAATCTCAACAATTGCATTTATTATGCTTTTCTTACCCAAGATGGGAAGAGACCACATTTTAAAAGGATTTCCATATTCCGAATTTATAAAAAATATTTTTTGGATTTTATCCTGACTGCTTTATAAGCCTCCCCTTGAAATTCCTAAAACTGACTTGTCCATTTTTGTAGGCAGTACAAGAAAGACAAATGTCTCAAGTTGTTGATTCCATGTAACAAAGGTTTTATCTTGCTTATTGTCATAGCATACATAATGGAGTCTTTCTCTGTTTATCTGTGGGATCACCTTTACCATATCTTGAACTTTTATATAATAAGCATTAGGTTTTTTTTAATCAACATGACAAAATACCTGGCAAACAACTTAAGAGAAGGTTTATTTGATTTGTGGTTTCAAAGTTTTGGGTCAATTATGCTGGGGATAGTGTGGTGCTCACCATGAAACTAGTCATATTGGTTAGCAGCCAATGTCTAAACATTAAATGGGTCCCACTCTGCTTTAGATGTGTGGAGGACAGAGGACAACTTCCAGAAGTCATATTCTCCTTCCTCTGTGTGCTCCCAACAGTAGAGCTCTATTATCCTCACTTCAGGATGAAAAACTTAACCATCAGAGTCATGAAATATGACTGTCATTGGGAGGAAGCTAGGACAGATATGGGTTTGCATGATGAACTTTTATATATGTGCATGTAATTTTCAGGAGTATCAAGTCTGAAGAGAAGTCACTTGGAATTGGATTACATGCATTTTGCACAAGAATATTTGGTATGAACAATTTCCCTACTCCAATATTAAATACTTAAAAAATTTAGTTTTATCTTAATAAAAAGATAGCAACTGTGTTGTCAACCCAAAATACAACCCTTATCTTAAAGGGAATAGGCAGTTTTATTCTGGAATCAAACATGTGTCACCATAACGTGGGAACATAGATTCAGGTCATTCAAATATCAGGTTCCAACATGGTTATAATTTTGTGATGCTTTTAGTTGGAGAAGAAAAGAAGTCATGAGTAAGGCACTTCTCAAATATATCTAGGAGCTTTATGGCAGCAAAGCATGCAATTCTCTTCTTTGGGCTCAGATGTAATCTGATGACATTCTTAGCGTTTGGGTGAGTGGAGGCTAACAACCTGTTAATTCAAACATCCCTAAAGGCTTCATGTGATAGTCACACAGATATGAGGTCAGACACAGGGATGGGGCAATAAATGATAAATAAGAGAGGTAAAGATAACTTGTCTCTGGAATCTTCAACATCCCAACTGTCTACATCCACGAGATTCTGATGACCCTGTGGCATTTTTAACATGTATGCACTCAGCCCACATTACCCTGACCTCCAGTTCACAAGCCTTTGTGTTTAGAAATGGCAACTAGTAATTAGTCAGAGAATGGAGCAACTGCAGAGATGATAAATGCTTCACCTTGTCTTTAAAGAGCCTACCTGAACTTAATTACACCTTTCATCTTTTAGTAGTTTCAAGGATAAAAGTAAGAAGGAAAATGTTTCTGTTAGATGTACAAGACATTTCAGAAAATACATGAACCTCGTGGTTATAAACTCAATGGACATTTCCTTAGCATCTTATATATAGTTTACATTTGTTGTCATCTAGAAACATTGCATTAAGTTACAGTTTCTAAAGTAAGTGTAGAGGCTTTGATTCATAATTTGTTTTTTTTAAGAGAGAAAGTGAAGTACTTCCAAATATAAATAACACCTCTCTCTCTCTCTCTCTCTCTCTCTCTCTCTCTCTCTCTCTCTCTTCCTCTTCTTTCTTCCTGTCAATTGGTTGCTTTTCTCTCTCTCTTCATTGTAGCTGGCATTCCGGCCCCTATTTACTTTGGTGCCTTGATAGACAGAACCTGTTTACACTGGGGAACTCTGAAATGTGGGGAGCCAGGAGCCTGCAGGATATATGATATACATAACTTCAGGTAAAGATAAATTTTTAAATTATTTACTTATGTTTACATGCATTGGCATTTTGCATGCATGTATGTCTGCGTGATGGTGTCAAATTCCTTGGAGGTAGAATTACAGGCAGTTTCTAAGCTGCCTTGTGGGTTCTTGGAATTGAATCTGGGTCCTCTGGAAGAATAGCCAGTGCTTTTAACTGCCGAGTCATCATTCTGCCCCAAAGGTAAAGATAATTTTTGAGACCTACTTTTGTAGTTTATAAAATGTTCTCATTCATCAAAGATTTTCTTGGGTGATAAGATTACATTTAGCTTCATTTTCAGAATGCACGTGGATGGCATAGCTCTCCTATTTGTGTAATTTAATATTTCCCAATTGTTTCTAAAGTGCTTGATATATGTAAGTGTGAGGGGCTTTCCTAACCTAACTCTTCAAAGTATGTCAGAAAGGAAGCAGGGTGGCTGTGTAGATGCTCTGGAGCAGTAGTGGGGGAGCTGCATCTTGAGCTGGGCTAGCATGGCAGAACACCGGCGATAAACAAGACAGCAAGATCCAGAGACTAGGGACAATGGTGCTACTGGTGGGGACAAAATCTCTCAGCTTCTACCACTCCATACCTAAGGCAGAGAGGAGGACTCTTCCCTTCCATAGGAGTCAGCATGACAGTCCCAGGACATTCAAGCAGCGTGGATCCTGGAATTGTAGCTCCTGAAAAGTTCACAGCCCTCTCATGCTTGCAGCCTGATACTGTAAGAATCCCCAGTTGGTGTACTGTCTTTGTAGCCCAGGGCTGTCTTGAGAAGGGACCTGCTATCTGTATTTGACTGACATTCTTATCTCTGGGAAGCCATAGATACTCCATTGCACTTAGCGGTTGGCTGCCCCATGAACACAGCATGGTTCAGTAGAATGGTTGTGGTATAAACAAGGTGAGAGTGTCTCAAAGGGAGAGGAGGTTGCCCCACATAGAAATAACTGAAGCCATTACCCTCAAGAACCTGCAGACCGTGGAGCCTGGCCTTTGAGATCTTGGGACATCCAGCTGTCTGTGCTTTCATGCCATTGCTTGAAGTAAAAACAGTACGTGCATGGTTCCACCACTCCCATTGCTCCACAGACACCTGTCACTAACAGTGCAGTGAGAGAACTATGGCTTCACTGCTGCCCCACGCCCAGGGGTCATGCTAGGCTGATCTTGAAGCACACTTTTGCTGTTACCTTGGTTTCTGTCTAGTACAGCAGGACCAAGAAAGCCCACAGGGAAACTTTGTTTGCTACAGACTGCACTGTGCTTCTCATTGCTCCCAAAACAACTTCAGCCAAAGGGAATTTTGGCCCTCCCCAGGTATGACCCAGTTCTGCTCTGTTTCTGGGTGAGGAGGATACTGAAAGATTCTGGGAAAGAAAAGTGCTGGCCGCTGCTCTGTTCCCAAGTGTGTATGGCTGGGGGTGGCTGCTATCCCATTTTCAGACTGGCACTCCCAAAGCAATAGTGTGGAAGGACTCAACTACTTCTGTCATTGCATCTGTGTGGGTTAAAGTTCAAGCTACTTGACATATCTAGAACGGTGGACTGTATCCCAGAATTGTGAGCAAATTCACCCCATCTTCCTCAAATTGAGTTTGTCAGGGTCTTTTATAACAGTGGCAGGTAAATAAGTGAAGATATTAATTAATCTATTATCCATCTAGAAAAAAATCTCAGTTGTATTTCTAGACTGTTATATCTGAAGTCTTAAGCATTCAAGCACATATTCTCCACATATACTTTCCCACTGTGGAAGTAGTCACAATCATTTTCTCTATGCTTACATAGTTCACGACTTCCTTCCTAAGGAATGATGCTACCCACTGTGGACTGGGGCTTCTCATCTCAATTAAAGTCATCAAAATATCTCTCACGGACATAATCCACATAGGCCTTAACTGAAACTTCCTTCACAGGAGATTCTACATGGTATGAAGCTGACAAAGCTATACACAACACCAGGTTTTACTATAAATATTGAGATCATAAAGGATTTTTTCATAGTAATTTAGAAATATCCATTATGTCAAAACCACCAATTTCCCAAATACATTAAGTCAATAATCTTTTAATTTACAAAGAGCAATTGCTTATAACAGTTTAGAAGTACTTCTATGAAGATGTGAATGGGGAAATTACCTAAATCATTTCAAGAAGCTTCTACAATCTTCAGGCTGAAACTGGACAAGTTCAGCAAATGAAAAGAATTTGGGGCTGAAGTTCAGGGGTTAAGATCACCTATTGCTCTCGCAGAGGACATGTGGTCAATTCCCATAACCCATTTTGGGCAGCCTACAACTTCCCATTACTCCAACCCCCAGGCATCCAGAACTCATGGATTCATACCTACAGAGACCCAAAACATACTCATAGGGAATAGTCAAAATAGTTATTGGATAAATTGATTATACAAGAAAACTAATGCATGAAAATTCATATATTGAATCTACTAATATATAAAAATGGTAATATGACTTATTGTAGATATAGAAGTATTTCATTATTACAAAGGACTACTAGTGTAATACAATTCACAATTGCTGAGTAGGAGAAAAATCTTGAAAAGTAACTCTTTTGTTTTATATATGTGTAATCAAAACTGGAGCAAGCAAAGTAGAAAAGAATAGTTCTCTTACCTTGCTATAAAGTTCTTTTGGCTCAGTATTTAAGAGACTTTATGATAATGGCAGAATCATGGCCTAGTGTGAGGTAATGGTAGAGGATGCATGGTGGCAGAGAGTGAGGATGCTGGTTATGTTTCGTGCTGAGTTAGGATTTTCATCCTCAGCTAAACCTATGTGAAAACATTCTCATAGGCACACCCAGAGATGTATTTCTATAATAATCCCAATGCAGTCAAGTTGACAATGGAAACTAGCCTTCATCAAAATGAAGAAACACATTTAAACTTGCATGTCGGAAATTTTTGACATTTTAACAAAAAGAATGAATAACTCAGCAAAGTAGATTATATAAATTTCACGGGCAAAATAATCACCTGATTCTCTATTGAAGAATAAATGATCTGTGAGCATATACAAAAGTGGCTTTCAGTGAACATGCTAAGATTTAATACAGATTAGTTGTTTTCAATAGGCGCATTTACCTTGGGTTGCCAGCAGCTCTAAGAGGATCAAGCTTCCTCCCAGCAGTCTTCATTCTAATACTTCTGCGGAAACTCCAACTCCCTGGGGAAAATGACTCTCCAGAACCTGAACTTGCAGAGATGAATCTCACAGAGAAGAAAAGCAAGTGCATGGATGTGCAAAGAAGTCCTGGGGTTGAAAAGGACGGAGAACTCAAAACTAAGCTTTAGTGAGGTTTCTATTGGCCTGCACAAGCCATGGACAGTGTGCGTTTGGCCTGCACAAGCCATGGACAGTGTGCGTTTGGCTTCATTTGAATCATGAGAGGTACTGTAGGAACTCTTTTCTTATCCTTAAGGACATAAAATTATTTTACACACTATAAAAATATTTACTGATAGCATTTTTTCAAAACATTGGGGTAGCACTTAAGATTTTCCCAGGGAAGACTCTGGTGACCCCCACACTGAACTTTACGTCTGTCTTCATTTGCAAACAGCCTTTTCTGTTTTAACTTAATCAAAACATGTATGTGTTTCTCACATATCTTCAATAGTGTTTAAACTCTCCCATTCCTGAAACACTATTCAATTTCATTGAATTTATGCTTCATTGTTGGAGTTATTAGAGATGAAAATTTTCACCTTGGTTTTCTTACATTGAAATAATGTGTTTGAATTTATCCCATCTATGTGCAAGACATTTGCATATCCCTTTATCTATTTAGGAGTTGTCAACTGTCTCTCTTTTTTTATTCTAATTTTTATTCAAAATTAGACTTCTCATTAATGTGCCATCTCTTGTTTTCAACCTGTTCTTTAATTACTTATATTATACATTTGATCATTTTGTTTAGATCACTGATAAATTTAATAAGGTCATTTAAAATCATGTAGCAAAGATGGTTGCAACTTTCCCCCTAGGATTTCAAAGCTGGTAAAGAAACTTATTCTTAAAAGCAAGCATTTGAGAAAGCCAGTCCTTCACCAAGCCCTTTGTAGAGATAGGGCTATGTGTCATTGGTACAATGCTTGCCTAGTTGTGGGAGACCCTGGGTTTTACAACAAGGTAAACTACTGAAAATAAAATAAAATATAACATAAAAATAAAGGATGGATGCAGTATCAGGTGTTCTCAAAAGACTACTTTCTCATATTCAGGTGGTCTCTTTGGCCCAGTGTTCATTTTACTCGTGAGTCCTCAAAGTACATGGGTATTAATTTCCAAAATCATATTAGAGTAAAACCATTAAAGAGGAGCCAGGGAGATGGCTCAGTGCAAGGTTATCTTTGCCACAAAGCCCAAAAAGGTGGTTTGATTCCTGTTCTGTGCCCTCTTCTGGATGTAGGGAGAGATCTAACCAGCCTTACCTGTGGCGCTGACCACCCATTTGGGCATGGTCACAGGTGCATCAGTGAGAGTATGGGGCTTGGTCTGGGGTCTGGGACAGGCTTGCTCTCTCTTGGTTCTGGTTGGGTCACAGAGAGCTGCTGGGGGTGGATCCTTGGAGCTGGAACTTGTGGGTCATCGGATTCTCGTGTAAGTGACTTCTCCCTGAATAAAATTAACCTATATTCTCCTAGTCCCATGTATCTTAATCTGTGTGTCACTAAACTTCCCCTTTTGCAAACAAATAAATGAAAAAAATGTAGAAAGCTTTAGAGTGTGACTATTGATATAAAATTGGGGTTCTAAAATTTAAGGTACCCCCAAACCAAATTTGATTGAGTACTGTCCCTCCTAGCCTCAGGAATTAATGAATGATGTTATTAAAACATCTTAAGTGCTGTATTCTGTAGATCTCTGAAGTGTTTGAAGACCATGTCTATCTAATGTATATCTCTGTTTGACCTTGAAAACATACCTAACATGACAAGTTTGATTGTAATCCATGACTAACTACTAACTGGCATTTCTTTATGATCCTATGTAGTTTGTAATAAAAACTTTTAAGGACTAGAAATTTGTATTACATTGTTAAATAAATTTGTATAGGTACAATACCTTGAACAAGAGTAGAAATATATGTTTGGTTTTATGAAAAGTATAAATAGCAAGATGAAATTACTTCCTTTATGAATGTATTTTCTCAGCTTCATCCTTTTGAAAGTAAATGGAATGTAAATAAATTCTAAGTTTTTTTAAAAGAAATGTGTGTACAGTTGTTCTAACAAAACTAATCTCAAATTTGTATCTATATACTTAAATATCTTAAACAAGAGTAGAAACATATATCCAGTATAACAAAGATAACCTGAAATTTGTATGAATATGCAAAAATCCATACCAATGTAAATACTTAAGACTAGTTTTAGTTTTTTGGTTTAAAAGTATATTCAATTATCTACCTTTTATCCTGTCATAGCTATATCCCCTTTTTCTTTTCAGAACAAGATCCCTGAATCTAGTCTCATTTGTCCAGCTTTTTTTCCTGATCATTACCAATAACAACTTGTTACCAATCCCTTGAACAATGAAAACTATCCATAATCCATTGAACAGCCTAAAACTGCCTGCCTCACCTCTTGGGAATGTGGGATTTGTATTCTTAAAATTACTTCCTGTTGTCTGGGGGGCAAAAGCATCTTTAGAGGACCCTGAAAAATAATTGGGATAATTATCAAGACCTTGGAAATCTAGCTGTATCTTTCTTTTGTTCTGTCCCTATGTAATGGGGAAGTTCAGGGCTAACCTCAAGGCCTGGCAGAGTAGTCTGTGAGACTGGACCACTTCAGCTAGCCACCTTGAAATTGTTCTTAGCAGTTTGTAGTCCAAAGCTGATTTTGGGGTGGTGTTTGTCAGTTTAGTGGCATTGTAGTGCTGGTGGAATCATTGCTGTGGAGCCCAACCTCCTTTTGGAGACTTCAAAGGTCATTGCTAGTCATGGTCATGGTTCAATGCAGAAAAGTTAAACATTTTAAATATTGTATGTAGCAGATTTGAAGAGGTTAAAGGACCATACTTTTTAAGGTACATCCAGAATAGAAAACCTTAATTCTTAGTTACCAGATAGAGACTCAAACCTGAAATCATGTACAGAAACCTAGATAAAGCTGTAATCTGTGTCCATGTTGCTGGTGTCTAGGAGCTGTTCTACCAATGTGGTCAGGATGATTAAGGTGGCCAGTGCTGTCAATGGGGCCATGGTATCATCTGGACCAGAGCTGTGGACAAGGACCATGTCTGAGTCCTTGGCCCTACCACGGCCAGGGTCTGTGTTGATGTTGGTAGCACCTGAGAACATGGAAGACCATACAAATGCCAGGCGTTGTTGATGTTGATGTCCGAGGGCCACACTGCTGCTGGGGACATGCCAGTCAGAATATCCTACACTCCCACCTGGGATCATGGTGACATCCAGGCCAGGCAGCTATCTAGGACCATGTCTGATTCTGTGGTCCTACCACAGCCAGGGTCTGTATTGATGTATGTTGCCTATGTTGCCACCAAAGATTACATAATGCCCAGGGTCTGAGCTGAAACTGGTGGTCATGAGGGTGTCCAAGAGCTGTGCTGTCACCAGGAACATGCTAATTTGAGTGGCCTTCACTGACACCTGGGACTATAATGTTGTCTAGACCAGGGCTGCTACCAAGGTCCATGTCTTGGTCCATAGTCCTACAGTGGCCAGGGTCTGAGTGAATGTCTGAGGCTCCTTTTACTACTGAGGGCCATGACGATGACTAGTGTGACAAGATTTCCCACCAAGTTCCACAACTGCCTTGCCCCAAATGTACACACAGACTCTATATTAATTATGAAACTGTTGGCCAGTAGCTAGGGCTTCTAATTAGCTTTCTCTGTCTTAATTATTAACCCATTACTATTGACCTATGTGTTTCCACATGCTCTAGGCTTACCAGAGAATGCATAGGCATCCCATCTTCCCAGTCTCACATCACATCTGCTATCTGTCTGCCTACATTTCCTAGAGTTCTCCTTGTCTCCTAGTCCTGCCTATCTTCCTGCCTCATTGGCCACAGTGTTTTATTCATCAACCAGTAAGAGAAACATAAATACAAAAGGACATTCTCCCATCAGAGTGGGGTCTAGTGAGCCACCTGAGACCATGTTGGTGTCAAAGGACCATGCTACTGATGGAGCCACACTGATCTGGCTGCCCAGTGCTACCACTTGGAGCCATGGAGACATACGGTCATGGGATGCAGCCTAGAGCAATGTCTAGGTGTGTGGCCCTGCTATTGTCAGAGGTCTGAGGTAGTGTCATGGCTCCTGTTACCACCAAGAGATTCCCAAGGGCTGGTCAGCTACCAGAGACCATGTTGGTGCCCTTGGGCCCCACTGCCATTGGTGACATGCTGATGTGGGCAGTCTGGGCCCAAGCTGCTGCCAAGGATCATGTCTGGGTCCATGTTCCTGCTGCAGTCTGGGGTCTTTAATGATGCCCATGGCCCATGTTAGCACAAGGGGGGTCATTGGAACCATGCTGTGTTGACTCAGCTCTGAGCTTCACTGGCCCAGACATATCTCACCCTGTCTCTCACTGGATACTACAGCAAGAGAGCTCACCTTTGCACTCAGAGAAGATGACCCCACCCCTTAACAACGGCATGAGCCTCACTTGTGCAGCACAATGGAACTGATCTTGGTCAGGGGTGCTGGTGAGCCAGTACTGAGGGCATAAGAGTACGAGAGCTGACTATAATTTCACCACCGTATGCTCCCTATAGCAACCAGGAGGGAGGTCCCTGCAGCTTGCCTGGGTAAAATAGCAGAGCTGGCTCTGGTGATGTGAGTGTGGGGGCCAAGATCTCCAGAGAGCAGGAGAACTGGCCATTCTTGCTATGGGATGATTGGGTGAGCTAACTGAGTGCTGGAAAGCTTGCAGGGGAAGTAAAGGTGAGGGATGGCAGGCTGACCAACCCAGCTACTACCCAGGCTCAGAACCAGGGCCTTAGGTTGGCCCACCCAATATTCTCCAAGTCTATGGACTGTTGAAGCATGTGAAGGGGATGAACTTATAGATCCAAAACAGCAGGATCTACGTGACACAGGACAACAACAGGATATCCAAGAGGAGCTCCAGTAGGAGCCCATGATCAGTGGTACTGCAGAAATCGGAAACCTTGAGCCAGACCAATGACTCAACGGCCACGAACACTTGCAAGTAAAGGTGAATGGACTAAAGGGTAAACTGTGTGACTCAATGGGCCACACTACAGCTTCCATGACAAGATTCTTCTTCTTTGTTATTGTTGCTTTTTGCTTT